GGACGGGGCCCAGGCCCAGAGTTCAGGCCCCACAACTGACCAAAAAAAAATAGGAGTATAGCTCAATACTAGATGTGTGTGACTCTGGGTTCTGTCCCCTGCACCACCTCCACCAGAAAATAAAAGAAGAAAGATGTTGCTGGGCACCAGTGGCTCATGCCTGTAATCCTAGCTACTCAGGAGGCTGAGATCTGAGGATCATCATGGTTCAAAGCCAGCCAGGGTAGGAAATTTTGTAAGGCTCTTTCTCTCAACACCAGAAAAACTGGAAGCAGTGCTGTGGCTCAAAGTGGTAGAGTACTAGCTTTGAGCAAAAGAGCTCAGGGACAGTGGCCAGGCCTCAAGTTCAGGCCCTATGATGAATTAGAAACAGAGAAGAAAGGTGTTCTTCTGCCGCCGTGTGCCCTGAGCCAATTTCCCCAGTGTCTTGCCTGCGGAGTGCATTAAGGCAGGAGGGAGTGCATTAGGGCAGGGGGAGCATGTGGAGGGCTTCAGCTGTGTGCACTGGCTGTGCTCAGTCACAGGTGTGAAGGACTATGTAGCAAGGCAACGTCACATCCATTCTGCTCAGGAAACCACCTTAGCAGCGATCACATTTCCTTCTCGTGGCTTCTGTGGCACGACACCTACCTCACTGTCACTAGCTCCTTCTGTCTGCTTTGCTGGCTCCTTCTCCACCCGCCTTCTCATCTGAATCTCCTTATCTACTACCGGGAGGTCTCAGAGTTTGCACGTCAATCATGTAATAGCTCCTGAGTTTGCTTTCAGGTAATTCTTTCCCCTAAACTCCAAGCTCACGTATCCAAACGTATGTTTGGTATTTTTAGTTGGATGATCCTCATCATATCAGTACTTCCGGAACATGCATTTTGGTTTCCTACACAACTCCTTCACACATACACACACACACACACACACACATACACACACACACAGTCTCATTATGTTGCTAAGGCTGGCCTTGAACTCATGATCTTCCTGTCTAGGCTTCCTGAATAGCTGGGATTACAGGAGTGTGTTTCCATACCCAGTTCTATAAAATGGGTGTTTTGGTTTTTTTTTTAAACCAGCCCAGGCACACATTCATTCTTATTTTGCTTATCTTCCTTCCCTAACTGAACATAAAAGCTCCATGGCCTGTTTCATACTATCTGACAGTGCTTTCACAGAAAGGCTTACAGTTTCTTACTAAGTGATTCTTAGTCATGTGTTATATGCCAGGGTTAAAAAGAATAATAATGCTTCTGAGTAAAAGAAAACCCTCTGGGGCTGGGAAGGTGGCTCAATGGTAGAGCGCTTGCCTTGCATGCATGAGGCCCTGGGTTCGATTCCTCAGCACCACATAAGCAAAAAGAAAAAAGCCGGAAGTGGCGCTGTGGCTCAAGTGGTAGAGTGCTAGCCTTGAGCTGAAGAGCTGAGGGACAGCACCCAGGCCCAGAGTTCAGGGCCCATGACTGGGCACCCCCCCCCCCCAAAAAAAAAAACACAACAAAACAGACTTTCTGTTGGCATGGTAGTGCATGCCTGTAATCTCAAGCATTCCAGTGGCTAAAGAAGAAAGATTCTGAGACCAGCCTGGACAGATAACTAGACCCTGTTTCAAGAAAAAAACAATTAAACTATAGGTATAAACATTAGATATCTCAAATTCATACCCTCCTGCTCTCCTTGCTTGGTTTCTGTTTAGATAATATGGGCTTGAGTGTTAACTGTTTATTGCTACTTGGTTCCATCAAGCACCCAGCAGAGTACAGGAGTAGAATGAAGAGGCCCCAAATGAAAGGGCCTTTGGACTACTCTTTCAAGGCTCCTTGGACTTTGCTCACAGCCCAAGACCTGGCTTTATCTCAGGCATACCACACCATCACCTACAGTGCTCTGGGACGGAGAAGCTATTCATGCCACAGGGTGTCAAACAGCCTCAACTTTGACTTATCCCAGGCCAAGGGCCAGGCAAGAGCAATGGTGTAGCTGCTCCATTTACACAGAGGAGGGAGGAGGAGGAGGAAAAAGAGGAGGAGCAGGAAGAGGAGGGAGAGCAGGCTGGAAGGGTGTGGTAAGAAATACACCTAACAGGTATCCATGACCAATTTATCAGGGGATATAAGGTGTCCAGGCCAGTGCTCTGGGTAGGGTACCTGGTATTACCAGTGAATGCAGGGACTCATCAGATGTGACAGGCCGGATCCATCCCTAAGGGTGATTGACATTAGATTAAGCCCTGCCCCCTGAAATGTGTGGGCCCTAGAGGCTTTAGAATTCATTCTAACTTGTTGGTGTGTATATGAATGTGAATGTGTGTGTTTTACTCCTTTTAATTAATTAGATGTCTGATTTTAAAAAACCATACACACATATCTGCTCCCATCTAGGGAAGGGAAGCAATGGCCCATGGGCTAAGATGCCCACCCAGTCAGCAGCCCTTCTGTGAACTCGATGCCTCCTCTGTCCTCCTCCAGAGGACACGTTTTAGAGGCCTCAGGGGATGATTGGCTGCCTGTTGCTTTGGGCCTATGGTGGCACCCGCTGGAAGAACTTACAGTAGAGACTAACTCCTTGCCTTGTGACCAGAAGTGCTGTTGTTACATGTAAGTGATTTCACCCTTGAACTTGCTCTCTGTTACAACTAACATCATAAGGAAACATTAGTTGTGACCTCCATCCCTCCCAAAGCATGCTGGTCTACCCTGTGCCAGATGGAGGGGTCAGCTGAGGGTAGAATGACTCAGGGCCCTGGTTGTGGGAGAACCTTTGGCCACCATTAGTCACAGCTGGCAAAGTTTCCAATCAACTTCTCAAGCCTCGTTCCTCCAAGTGGGGAAATCTGACTAGAGACAGAAGGCAAATGGTCCTGACTGAACACAGGGAAGGTGGATTCCGTGAAGGAAGTGGTTCTCATGGCAACAGACTGGCCAATGGCGTGCTAGATGGCTTTCTACAAAACCTCTTAGGATCCACACATGGGCTAAATAGAAACGCTGAACGGGGGTGGGGCGATCCACATTCTAAATGCAGCTTGCTGAGCCTTGGTGGGGGAGGGAGAAAATGGCCAGCTCCAGGTCATCTAATTCCTCCTTCTGTTTCCAGGCAGGGCTCTGTGAAGCCTGGATGCATCACAATTCTTTCTGGCTTCCTGAATTTCAGGAGACTTCCCGGTGTGGTGAAGGGATAGGAGCTGAGGCTTGGAAACCTAAAAGTGTGTTTTATTTTGAAGTTGTGCTTTGGATTTTCCCCAATCCAACATCTGTGGAGTAACAGTCTTAGGTTCAAAGCATCTCCAAGCATACATACAATATCCCAGGTAGCAACACTATTTTGAAAGAATATACCATTATACACAAACGCGACATACGACGTCAGACGCCACAACATTGCAATTCCCTGGAAGATCGAATTCTCTTCTGAACTGAAGTCCACGTACACCAGCCCTTCCAGTGGTGTGCTCGTCCTGGTGCTGGCATCGTTGCTCATCTCTTTGGGGGGAAACCAGGGTGCCCTGAGGAGGTTGGCTGAGACCAGTGTTTCCAGTTTACAGACTGCTGGCGGCAAACTCGTCCATTTTCTAAGTAAGTTGGGATGCTGGCAGCCCCACTCGGCCGCTCTTCCCCAAAGACGGACCCTTCCCAGTCCACAGGGGGGAAAAGGATCCAGGTCACAAGGGGCAGAGCAGGGCTCTTGGAAGCATCATGCTGGTTTGGGCAAGCGTATCTGAGGAAGGCCGGTCTCCTTAGGCCAAGGGTGGCCAGCTCCTTTTGGCTTTTGGGTGTAAAATCACAGTGTGCAACCTCAATTCCAGTTGGCTGCAGTGAGCTCTGCCGAGGACGACTCTCCTCTGGTTTGTTCCTAGTTCTCTCGACAGGGCCGTCTTGCAGGCATCAGGAGCACCAGAGATGAGGAAGACAGCTTGGCTCCCAGAGCTGGGTAGGAGGTGACCAGGTACACACCGTCTAGTTCATGATGCAAATCAGCAGATGGACACTGACCAAGGGGATGGCAAACACAAGTCATGTACAGGTTGAAAGAGAAATAAGGCAAGAGCAACAGGACAGGCCCACAGCATTGCTATCAAGAAAGCTTTGCCTTTACTTTCTTAGAGGGGAGTATCCTGAAGAGAGGAATAGAGGAGGTATGGCAATTCTGATCATTGGATTAAAAGAAATATAAGGTGGCGTGTGGGAGTTTCATTTAAGAGCTAGATCCTTAGGCTCAAGGTGTGGAGGGGGTGTCTAAACCCCCCTCGTGGCTCAGGACCTAGGGAAGCCCAGGCCAAGACACGATCAGGCCACTAAACAGAAGAACAAAGACTAAGGAGGTCCATGGGCTGCCTGTTGCAGGCTGACTCAATTTAATGAAGGAGTACTAAGGTTTTCTTGGTGTTGAGGTGATCTCCTTATTGGGGACTCCCCTTCTTGCTACACATTATCACACAGATCTGTTGCTTTCCATAGATCCAATTTCACACATTGGTCCAAGAAAGAATCCATACTTAGGAATTTCCAACCTGAATGGCAGCCCACCATCTCTCCTGAACTACAGAAATGAATAAGGCTAAAAGTGCAAAAGGAGGAGTGAGTGTGAGTTTTAGGTAGCTGTTTACAACCCATGAGACTGGGAGGTGGATGACCAGCCCCGGGCCTGGGCAACCCAATGGAGAGGAGCCGGGATCGTGTGCTCAGGTTTGGAGACTGGATAGGAGCTCAGAAAGTAACATTTCTTCATTTTGTAGAGGAACCAGAAAAAAGGCTAAAGGAAAGCCAAAAAAAAAAAAAGAGAACATAGTAGCTAATAATTTTTTTTTCCTTTAGATTCTGACTTTAGAACCTCTGGGGTCAAAGTTCCCTAAGTTGACTGGATAAAGCAAAACTACTCTTGAGAGGCAATGTCTCTCTTTAGCTAGGGTTCATCAAACTTCTGTTGGTCCCTGGAGAGACTGTGTGTGTGTGTGTGTGTGTGTGTGTGTGTGTGTGTGTGTGTGTGTGTGTGTGTATGTGTGTGTGTGTGTATGTGTGTGTGTGTGTTTGTATACATACATCCAACCAATGGGTGAATTTAAAAGTTTTCCATTGGGAACAATTTTGGATTAGCAAAGCTGAGTTTAATTTTTAATAGTTAATTTTGTTTTCAGTTTCCTCCCCTACCTCCCCCGCCTCCGCCTAAAAAAGGATGGGAGGAAGTAGGACCCATCATCTTACCTTTTTTTTTTTTTTTTTCAAACCTGCCATAAACACAATAAAACTTTCTTAAGACTCTTTACTCTAAAAGGAACCAGCTATAAAGCTGTATTATTCAGGAAAATGTCTTCAATGGAAAATAGTCCATCAGAGACAAAGAGAGGAACCCGGGAAATGTCTATACATTCAGAAAAAACTTTCAAAGCTCCTTTCTAAGACTGGGGTGTACTTCTACAGGATGGAGCAGGGGAAAGGAAACACCAGTGACTGACTCACAGCAATAGAGAAAACAGAGAGAAGAGCCCCACCCCCACCCCACATCACAGGACTGTTGCATCCTGCCACATTTCATACGATGAAGAGATTTCAGAAGCTAGGTTCTCTGGCCCAGTCAGAACACTTTGTAACGGAAACAGAGACCCCTGGTGGCTCTTTGTAAAAAGCCACAATAACTTACAAAGAGACTGGTCTATGACCAGGAGAGGGTATACATGCCAGACTAGAAAGGTGTGTTTGTGTGTGTGTTTAAAACGAAGAATGGACTGTATATGATTCTCTATAACCAGTACTCAAAACAAGACGCCACTGAGAACCAGGTGGCAGCAGCCAGCCATCTGGTCAAGGTACCCCCATGGTCTGAGGTGGCTGTGAGACTCCAGCCCACCTCTCATGACTTGCCTTGCCAGATTTCACAGTGACCTGATAATGAAAACTATCTCTGACTAACCTAAGCATGAACGGTATGTACTGCAGCTGGCTGCGTTACAATGACTGGGGGGAAGCAGAGGGCCATGGGAAGGGAAGGGAAAGGAGAGGAAGGGAAAGGTGGTACCAAGGGCTTCATTCTCAAGGTTCTGGGTGATGGGGAGGCTAATTCCTGCAAGGGCAACTTAGAGTCTAACTTTCCACTGAAGTCCTCAACCTAGTTAAACAGGAAGATTTTAATAACAGTCAGTCCCTACAATCCCCTTGTCTAGAACAATTAAATTACACCCTCAGACAGTACAGGACTTGTCAGTGGACTGTGGGGAAGCGGAGGAATTGACACCAGGGCTAGTGGCATTTGTTTTGGGGAAGACAGTGGGCTTAGGCCGTGTGGCTGGTGGTTTGACTGGGGCAGCCATCTTGACAGACTTGACAGGCCGGAAGGCGCAGGCTATGTCCCCAGCAGTACTGGCACTGCGCTGGAAAGCGGGCTCGGGGTCCTTGAGGAGCTGGGTGTGCAGAGGGCTGGAGGGCTCCGATGTGGGGGCTACCACTGGGGAGGTTTTGAGGGGCTCCAAGGTGTCCAGAACCACATCAGGAGTGTGCTTGACACTGCTCTGCCGTTCTAACTCCCGCAGCTCGTTCAGGGCAGAGTTCATTGTTGCTTCAATATCCTGCAAAACAGGAAAAGGAGGAGTGAGGCAAACGGAGGCAGAGTCCCCAAGGATCCAATTTCAACAGGACTGGCTAAGCCATGGAGAACCAATGAGAAAATGTCCAGATTATTTTACTTGGCCAAAGTCCTTGAATGTATGAATGTGCAGAATGTGGGCAGAGGAAGGATGAGGAACTTTTTTTTTTTTTTAATCATACCCCTGGCTCCCTCCTTTAGAAAGAGGTGCTTTAAACTAGTGTCCTTGGGTTTTAGAAAGTATTTTATCCACTGGGGGAGAGGAGAGGTGGATGAACTAGGCACTGGGTCATGGATACATGGAGATTCATTATCCAATTTTCTCTACTTTTGTATATGTTTCAAAGTGTATGTACAAATTTTGGTTTTACTTTTTTTTTTTGTTTGGATGCAGCCCCTAGAGTTGAACTCAGGGCCTGGGTGCTGTCCCTGAGCTCTTTTGCTCAAGGTTAGTGCTTGAGCCACAGCTCTACTTCCAGCTTTTAAGGGCTTAATTGGACTGACTTTCTTGCTTGGGCTGGCTTTGAACTGTGATCCTCAGATCTCAGCCTCCTGAGTAGCTAGGATTACAGGTGTGTGCCACGGGCATCAGGCTTGCTTTGTTGTCATTACCATGTAGCCCAGACAGGCCTTAAACTTGTGATCCTCCTCTACTTGAGATTCCACCTCCCAGGTGCTGTGATTACAGGTATGCCTCACTACACTCAGCACAAACAATAAACAAAAATACAGAGATAGATGAAGTATGATCTTTATTTTCTTGAACTGAAAGGTCAAATAAGGTGATACCCCTTCCCACCTCCGCCACCCTCCCGGCCCCAGGAGAGTGTCCAGACTGCAACCATTTCCATCTACCCACCACCATGAGAGGCCAGAAGGGGGAGCCAAAGCCCACGTAGGTGAATCACCTGCAAATCAGTGAACAGACCTTAGCAAAGAACAGCTCTAGCCCAGGGGCTCAAGGCAAAAAATCAAAGACCCTTTGAATGTATGCAAGCCAGCTACCTCCTAGGGAGAGCTCCAGCTCCACCAACCTCCACCCCCCTCTGTATACACTCTGTCTGATACCCAAACCAACACAGGACTCCTCACTGGAACCAAACTCACACTTATGTTCCAAGCAACTGCACTCCATCCAGGATCCTCTGCCCCCAGAGATTTATGCTTCCTCCCCATAGTGACTCACTTTCACTCATCCCTATGGCATTCTCAAAACTGATTTTATTGACAGATTGATTGATTTGCAGTCTACAGATCAAACTCAAAACCTTGCTCTTGTAAGGCAAGTGTTTCTACCACTGAACTACATCCCCAGCTCACAAACCTCAGGAAGAACTCCACTTCCCTGTCCAATCCCACTCTATAACCAGAGTCTGTCCATCTGTGAACCTTTCCTGACATCCTAGAGAGCCAGACAAAGGGTCAATCAGGAAGGATTCCCATGGTGCATGGCAGACTATTGTCAGGAAGTTAAACAGAGGCACAGAATAGAAGGCTTAGCAAAGCAAGACATCGCAGGACCGCTACTGGGATGTCAGGTTCATCTCCTTAAGCAGAGCACCAATGAAGCCGGGAAAGATCATGCCAAGCCTCTGGGGCGAGGACAATGGCTCCTACCTGGTCTAATGAAAAGTATAAAGTTGAGAGAGACGTCTGAGAGAACTGCTCGAAGTGGCCCGGGTAGTTGGATTTTTAGAGGTAGGGTTGGATCTCTATTATTTCATGGAAAACAGAGAGTCATCAGTGTGGTGCAGACAAGAAGGAAGACCCTGTAATCCGGGATCTTATCTCTACTGTATCTGGAGCCTCAGGCTGGGAAAACCTTCTAGTATCTGAGCTCTTAGCAATAGGAACAGTTCTGGGTCTTGACCAGAAGTAGATTTTGGATATATTTTCTGCCCACTAGGCATTGGAGATGAGCTTTAAGACAGGAAAGGACAGAGATGGGCAGAGCAGTACACAAATGTGACTTGCACTGTATCTGAGCCTCAACCTTTTGGGGCAGCTTCATTAAAGCTTACCAGGGTCTTAAGACCTGAAACTTGGGTTGAATGGACTGTCAACAAATACTCTCACTACTGGCTTTCAAAGTTAGCAGCCTTGCAAATGGTTAGCATATGAACAAGAAGCAATAATTGATTGGCTATCTTAATTTTTGCTAGGAAGAGGTGGAGAGATGGACAGCTGGGTGAGTCACCCACCAGTTCCTGAATCCAGCACAGAATGCACACACGTTGTACTGTTTCAAGTCGTGCCATGATTAACAGGGGCTTCTTCACAGGGTGGAGGTGACACATGGAGACTGATATGTGCTGCTTGTACAGGGTCCCTCAGTTACCTGTGCAATGACCTCAGGGTCCATGGGCCGATGGTTATTGAAGCTTTTTGACCTCCCTGCGGTGGCAGTCTTCCGGATCTGTGGACTGTCCAGCCGGTTCTTTAGGGATGAATGGCGGCTGATAGAGTTAAGGCTCCCATGCCCGCTGATGGAACACTTATCCGGCCCTTCCTTGGGGAGACTCTGGCTCATGATGGGCTGGGAGGATGGGCGGCAGCTGGGCCCCACCCCCGGGGAGGAGGAGTCAGTCAGGGAACTGCTCAGCCCGTGGCTGTCACTCCGAAAGGTTTTCCGGATGCTCCCAGATTCTGGACGTTTCCTTTGCCTTCAATCACAAACAGAAAGGGCAGAGTGATCAGGAAGCTCTGGCCCCAAGAGAGCCAGGATGGTGAGAGAAGGGCAGACACCAGTGTGTGGGACTCCTGAAAGGAGAGGCACGCACGGTGCCTTCTGAGTCTGTTCCCTTGCCTCCCCCAACGTGGGCAAAGGAGAAATGGATACTTACTTGGTGGCCGTAGGCTTCAAGTCTCACCAAAGTGCTGTCAGAAAAAATGTCTGATCAAGGGAAAACTTCTAAAGGGAGAAAGGTTCATGGCAAGACCCACTCCGTTACCTGCTTTGAACAGAAACCCAAGGCTCCAGGTAGCAAGAGTTTCACCGTCACCAACAGGGGTTGAGGCGGGGGGAAGAAGAGAAGAATGAACTCTTCCAAATTTTAGCTTGTCTCTTGGTCCAACTACAGCAAGACTCTTTAAGTATTTGGGGTTCTGGCAACATGTGCTGTTGCCTCTTCTGCAGACTTGAAACAGATTTCTTAAGAGGCTACAACGCTGCAGGGGGAGCGCGATGTGTACATGTTCTTAGAGTAGAAGGACATCTATATACCTCCTATGTCACCTAGTACTGGGCTGAATCCTGGCTTTGACCCAATTTGTTCCACACCATTTAAGGCTCTCAAATGAAATAGCTTGGCAGACTCCAAGTCATATGGGTGTTGCCTGCTGCTGAGTAATTTCATTTTCTCCTGGAATCAGATTTTTAAAGCAGCTGGGAAGTTCTGATCCTGAATCTACTAAGGGAGCCGGAGAGTTAAGGATGGAAGGAGGGAAGGGGAGGATAAGGGGGTCCGGTCATTTATGAGAAGGGTCAATGTGCTGAGCCAGTCCTGATCCTGCTCATTGCTAAGGCCTTCCTCATCTTTATAGACCTAAGGCTTAGCTCACAGAAGCTAGTCTATGAATCTGTTCATCCAGTGGTTCTATCCTTGCAAGGCTACCATCCTCAGGTGGAAAAGGGAAGGCCCTGGAAGGCCCTGCTGAATTGAACCCTCCTCTGTAGTCTACCAGATACCACTAGCTCCTGACAGAATGGATCCTCCCTCCCGTGTTCCTCTGAAGTATCTAATTACTGCTTCTAAGCTCCCTCCCCCATGGTCTCTACCTTGCTGAGCTGAGAGCGCTGAGGCCCAGGACGATGCCTTATTCCACCAAGTAACCAGCATGGTACAACACAGATGCTTCATACATGTGTGGAATTAAATGGAAATGTCACGCCTTAAGAGCCCTTAGCTGATTTCCTTTTTCCACTTGAGGATGGCTGACTCACAAATCTAAAAGTGCTGAGAAGGCAGATTTCAGAGTGGCTGCATCATGCCATGCCCCAGGCTACCTTTTTTCCTAAGATGGGCAAGACAGGGTTCTAGGTTCCTGGGAGCTCAGTGTGGAGAAAGGGGAGGGATCTGGATGTAGCTTGGGTATCAAGAACTACCACACCACTCTGGAATAGAATAAGGGCATCCAGCTCAGCCGTGGGGACTCAGGAAGGCTTCACTTAAAGAAGTCATGTCTGGACTGAGTCTCAAAGGGACAGAAGGAGTTGACCCAGTGAGTGGAGTCTGCAGGTGTGGAAATCCAGTGAAGAGAGAATCCAGGACACCCAGGAAACTGAAGGAGGTTGGGAGGAGCACTGTGAAGGGGCTGAAAAGCACTCACTCCTAAGGCACAGGCACACTGAGGGCTGTTGCTCCCCAATGGAACAGGTAGCTAGTGTCTTGGGCAGGTGTAGGGTGATGATATGATGATATGGTAAGAGATTTGTCCTCTCCAAACTTCATCATGACAACCCTGACAACCATCAGGCAAGAAGACCAAGGGAATTACCTTGCTTTTCTACCAATGTTCAACTTTTGACTGTTCTGGCTGTCACTCTCTGCGATTCTTCTGTACAAATGCCATCCAATATCTGATGCCTTAAAATTATGTACCTAGAGCTGGGGTGTGGCTCAATGAGAGCCTAGCATGTTCAGGACCCTAGGCTCCAACCTTAGCACTGTAATAAATAACCTAACTGAGTATCTAATTCTTCCCTGGAAGCCAGACTTGGTTTCCAGCTAAATAATAGGTTTATGATCTTATGATTATAGCTTTATAATTAACAAAGACTTGTAAATAGGAAAAAAATAAGAATCAGCCTACAGTTACTTTTTCACAAGCATGCCTTCCCATCAGGGGAGTATAAAATCCTCCTTTTTTTTTTTAACTGGTCTGAATTAAAATTGTAACTATACTGAATAAGTGAGCTGAATAAACTACTTTATGAACTTGGGGGTGAAAGAGATGGAAAAGAGCCACGTGTCCCAAACGCTCCCCCGGCTACCGTCTGGTTGGAACAAAGCCAAGAGATCTGGCAATCCAGTATAGTTTAAAAACAACAAGCATCTTTTATTCTCCTTTCCAGTCTCAGTGTCCAGAGGCTATGGTTAACAGGTTTTCAAAGTGCAAATCATTTCATTCCTCCAAAGCCGGAGGGGAATAAAAACTGTACATCATCTCCAATCCATATTCATCAGGAGCACCCTGGGGCTTGTCATCCTGCTGGCACTGGGCCAAGGTTCGGGGTCTGGCGGAAAGAGGTCTGTAGGCTTTGGGACTTGGTGTCTGGCCCCCTTGAGATGAGATTAGTTCTCCGATAGCCTGAATGCCTCTATGGGAGGCAGCAGCAACACTGGTGGATGGGTGAAGTGTCCCTCTAGACAGCCAGCTGGGTGTGGGTGAAGTTAGGACCCTGGATGTTGCTAACAGCCACAATGAAAGCTGGGTAGAGGGAAGAGCCTGCTGGGCAGCATAGGGATGCTAGGGCAGGATGATACACAGGGCTAAAGCAACAAGGGAAATGGAAAATTGACTCTCCTGGTGTGAAAGGGGGAGAAGAAACAGTGCTGGGTCACAGGACGAATCAGGAGCTGGGACAAAGCTTTCCTGGGGTGTTTCAGTGCTCTCCTCTCCTCCACAGCAATGAATGCAGGGCGGGCGTGGGTGAGGGTGGGGAACAGGCATGTGACATCTAAATAAGCCCACCTGGCAAAACAGTAGCCTGATGGAAGACACACAAGACTTTGAATCTTCAGACAGACAAGAGTCAAGGAAGACACCAAAGGCTATTATTTGACTAAGAAGTGGGAAAGAGAAGGCACCTCTAAGAAACAGTACAACACCAAGTTGCATACAGTGGCCAAAGCTTTGGCCAAGGTTTAAGCCATAAGACTGGGGAAGATCTGGGCTGAGAGGCTGCAGGAACACACAGAGCAACGCCCTGCCCAGCCTGACAGCAGCTAGTGCGAGACTCCGTCCTGTCCCAAGGTTTCTGGAAGCCTCCTCAGCCCTGTTGCCTTGCAGCAGCAACAAACACATGCAGACGTTAGGCTGGAGGGCTGGAGCCCTGAGAGCGGCACGGGAGTGGAGGGGTTAGGCCAGGGAGTGAGGCTGGGTGGTGCGACTTGTTCAAGGGAGCAGAAAATGAAAAGCAGAGCTTACTTGTTGATGTTTGCAAGATAAATATCGGCTACATGACCCCCACTGGGACAGCTGGCCCCCGCTCTGGCTGTCACCTTTTCTTCAGGTGGCTCAGAAATGACCTCAATCTCAGACTTGGGGCTGGACCTCTCCACGACACCGTCCTCGCTGGGGGAGACGGGGCAGGCAGGCAGGCAGGCAGGGAGGAGGGAAAACAACAACAACACAAAAAGCAGCGTTAAGTCAGCAAGATGGCCCCCCCGGACACATACACACACACACATACGCGCACACACACACACACGCACAGGCACACACACGTACACACGTACACACACGTGCATGACTGCACATGGCTTGCAGACAGCAGCGACTCCTGGCAGAGTTAACCCCATGGACAGAGGTGAGAGAAGCTAAGGGCTTTAGGAGGTGGTTTAAATTAAAATAAATAATCTGCTGAGTTCTATGGGCTTCTCAGCTCCTCAGGAAAGATGAGCTAGGGGACACCTGGCTTCAAGGCATTTGCTGTTTTCCTGGGGTGGGTGGCCATGTGGGGGCCACTTCCCAGAGAAGGAAGTGAAGTCCAGGTTGTGGATTATCTGCTGAGGTCCTGAGCACTGCTGGGGAAGGAGAGAAGCTCTGTGGTGACTCTGGAGATGCCGGTGTTGAGGCAGGACATGGCCACTGGGCCACAGTCTGTCGTAGCACGTCTAGCCTCGCTTAGAATGTCCAAGCCAGTCCCAGGTGTCTCCACTGCTCTCCTGGCCCCTCTGGCTACTGATGACAAAGAAAGCCCCTTCTCCCCCACAATTCATCTTCTCTGGATCCTGCAGTGAAGTCTTAATGCTAAATTTGGGAGGGTCCTGTCCGTGCACAGATGGCCACTGGGTTTGCGCCGTGATCAACACAGGGAGAACTTCCCCGCAGAACATGCCAGGGAGAGGCTGGGAGGGTGCAGACTCATTCAGGATATCAACCTTTAAAAAATAATATTAAGGGAAGGACTAAAAACAGTGACAGTATCTTCTCTGTGGGGCATGAATGGGGTAGAAGCAAGATAAGGTCCAGGGAGGCAGCCTGGGTGGGCTACAGGAAGGAGCTTCTACTTCCTGCCTGGGAGATACTTGTTCCACAAGGTGGGAACTAACCAACAGCCCATCCAACAAGATCTCTCTGGGATCTGTTCAGGATCCCTTTGTTCTCTGACATCCTTTTCCTGCCTCTTCCTATCTTCTGCTTCTACAAAGCTGCTTATAACACATTTCTCTTATACAGTAATTTTTTTGTCATTTTTCATCTACAGGGTGAAAAGTGTCATCAGAAGCCTAGCAAGTCGGAGTCTTTTTTTTTTTTTTAAAGGAGAGGAAGTGGAGGTGTCTCATATGGTAGAGCCCAGCACTTCAGAGGTGGAATCAAGGAGGAGGGAAGTTTGAGGCCAGTTTGGGCTATGTAATTGAGAGTTTCTCTCAAAATACCCAAAAGCCAGATGCTGATATCTCCCACCTAGCTACTAAGGAGGCTGAGATCTGAGCCAGCCAGGGCAGGAAAGTCTGTGAGACTCACTTCTCCAATTAACCACCAAAAAGCCAGAAGTGAAGGTGGATCTCAATAGCCTTGAACAAAATAAAAGCTCAGGGACAGCACCCAAGCCCTGAGTTCAAGACCCAGGACTGGCATATTCCCTCCCCCTAACCTCAAAAAAAAAAAAGGAAAAGGAACCAAAAATGTTATTCCAACTACATCTTTCCAAAAAGAAAATATATGCATCAGATATATCTTCAGATATACACATAGATGAGCTAATTGTTTCTAAAACTTTAGGAGTAGATTTAAAGAAGGAAGAGTAAGTGGAGAGATCTAAAACAAATTCTCCACTGAGTTTGAGGCAGAGCCTCTTCCTAGAGACTGTGAACCCCAGGACTACATTAGCACCCTCTAGGGATTAGTCTCCCTCATTAGCTCTGGAATCTAGCTCCCATGGCAAGATAAGGGACCACCCTTAGAGGTGCTAGGACCCTACATACGTGTCTTGGACCACGATGTACTGATGGGGGATGAGTCCATCGATGCCGTTGTGCCGGCCTTCCCACCAGTCATCAGAAGCCCGCTGGTAAAGCAGCAGAGATGCCCCCTTCTTGAATGACAGCTCTCGGGCTGTCCGGCCCACGTAGTCAAACTTGGCAATGGCCTCAATGGGTTCACACTCTGGGAGGAGTAGAAAAGAAAGAAACACATGTAGTTGGGACCTACAGACTCAGGAAGTTTGAATAGAAAGAAAAGCCCAATTAGCTGGACCTAGAGTGGGGAGGATAACCTTGGGTAGAAATGCACTGTGGGTGGTCTACAAAGCAGATGATTCTCATACAGCCAGCCATCCTCCCTCTCACACAGCCTTTGTCCTTCCTGTCCTGCCACCTGGAATCCTTTCACTCTGCCCAAGGAAGCATGGAGACACTGCTTTCTCAGGCGACTTCTTTGCAGCTCTTTACACTGTGACTCTTCCTATCAACAAACTTGTCATTATTTCTTTTCTGTTAAATAATAGCTCTGCAAGCTGTAGAACATTTATCACTAGAAGATTAATTTTATTTTGTTTTTTGTTTTTGGTGCTGGTCATGAGGCTTGAACTCAAGCCTTGGGCACTGTCCCTGAGCTTCTTCAGCTCAAGGTTAGCTACTCTACCACTTGAGCCACAGTGTCACTTCCTAGAAAATGAATTTTTGTTCTCTGTAAAAGAAAAAATAATTTTCCAAAGAACAGAATATAGAAATATAGTTTGTGGCTTGGAGGTAGCTTAGTGGTAGAGTGCTTGCCTAGCATGCATGAAGCCTTGGGTTTGATTCCTCAGTACCATATTAACAGAAGAAGTCAAAAGTAGTGCTGTGGCTCAAGTGGTAGAGTGCTAGCCTTGAGCAAAAAGAAGCTCAGGGACAGTGCCCAGGCCCTGAGGTCAAGCCCTAGAACTGACGGAAAAAAAAAAAAGAAATAAAAAAAGAAATATAGTTTGTGACTAACAGCCTATGGCAAAATACATTATGAGTAATCTAAAAATGGAATATATTTTGACCAGGGTGAGCTAGCCTTTGTTACAGAGTAGTTATGAGAAGTCAATGAATTACAGTTTGTAAAGCATTTACAATAGTGCCCAGAATCATATTATGTTTGTCATTGTTATCAATATCTATCTGTTCAAGGCTTCAGGCAGAGATTAGAGGGAAGAAAGGCTCCCAGAAACCTAGAACCTTAAAGTCAGTTATGATGTAAAACTGACAATGGCTGCCTAAAAAACAAGATCATGTCTAGAGCGCTCTGGCTGGTAAATCTGCTCCTAAATGGACTGACTGGACCAGAAATTTCACTAGAAGAGCAAGCCAGAGAAGGCCCATCTAAAAGTCCCTGTCTCAGTTCTCTACAGTCTCAAATACATTACTTGACCTTCGCATCTCTAACTCAAAACTGAATTCTCTCATTCATCTAACCCCATCTCATAAAGCAGTCGATGAAGTGATTGTACTGATCCTTTTTTTTTGGGGGGGGGGGGAGGGGGTCCAGTCATGGGCCTGAACTCTGGGCCTGGGCACTGTCCCTCAGCTCTTCAGCTCAAGGCTAGCGCTCTACCACTTGAGCCACAGCACCACTTCCAGCTTTTTTTTTTTCTGCTTATGTGGTGCTGAGGAATTGAACCCAGGGCCTAATGCATGCAAGGCAAACGCTCTACCACTAAGCCACCTTTCCAGCCCTGTACTGATCCTTCTTACATCAAGATCTGTGTAGAAGCAGTGCTAATTCCCCCCACCTCCACCCCCTTTCCTTTAAAAGCTGGCCTGGAGTTGCAGAATTCTCCACAAGGCAAGGAACATGCAAAGCTCTATAGACTGTGCCATTCCATTCTTGTGCCCACAAATTCAGAGGCTGCTTGTTAAGTGATGAGACTCCCAGAGCTTAAGTGATTCTGAAATGGAGGTGTGGAATGGCTGGAAGCAAGGGAAAATGTGTTGCTGGACAGACCCTAATAAATCATGGACTCTGCAGAGGGGCCGGAGGATGACAGCTGAGCATTCCACCCCTGGATGCACAGCCACCAGACTGCTCCACTCACACATGTCTTTGGAAAGGGTCAATTTTTCCAGTGGGAAGGCATGCAAGCGTGTGCTTTCCCTCCTCATCCCCACACCCTCAGGTTTGCTTCTGTTGGGTTCTTGGCACCCAGCTTCTCTATTCCCCCAGCTTGCAGTTTTTCCAATGAGCTTTCCTTTGCTCTGGTCTCCAGCTACCTGGCAGGAGTCAGCTGTTAGAAAAGGCCCACATCCTTCCTGTTGAACTCAGGCTAAACAAGAGGCTGAAGAGGTGAGGTAAAGGGTGAAGGGCTATCATAGCTGGAGCTCTTCACCTAGGGAATAAATCTACAGACTAATCTATCAGAGGCTGTCCCTCCAAGGAATGGAGAAATGAGAGATGGAGAGTTCCCTGCTTGCCCTCATGGACCTGAAGACAGCAGAGTTCATTAGATGCACAGGACACTCGTGCTCACTTCGGCAGCACATATACTAGATGCACAGGACACATAACCACCTCCTTCTGCTTTATCCAGCACCCCAGTGACCTGGAAGCAGAGCTGCCTACCATCATCACTAGTGTGGTGCTCTGTGGTCACATCCTGGGTGGAGTCTTCAGCCGAGGTAGTTTCTCCATGAGGGCTGTCACTGCAACAGAACCAAGAACAATGAGGATATCAATGTTTGCTCACACAATTCTGCTCTCCCCGTTTATAGAGCTCCTTGGAACAAGGGCATCAAATCACTTCTAAGCTCACTATGCCAACAATTGCTTATAATCAAACAGACCCCGCTGGGGGTTCTCTAGACCTCCTGCTCCCCAAACCACTGATTCTACCTTGAGACAATGGGAAAACCCTTTTGAAGCTATCAAATACATTCTTTAAAAAACACAGAACTGTAAGCTAAACTCAGAGAGATCAACAGGGCTTGTTTTCTCTCATATGTGGAAGCTAGATACAAAATATAAGTGGATATGATACATTATACAGGACTCCAGGTATTCACAGACAGACTAAAGGGGGAAATCCTTAAGGGAGGAACGCAAATGTGTAATTTCTCTGAACATTTAAAATACTATTTATTGAAATGAATTCCAGGAAAGGAAAATATGCTTTTTTATTGTTGTTTTTATTGGTGTTTGTTTTACTTTTATTTTTTTGGGGGGGAGCTGAGGGAGGGTACAGAAAGGGAAGGAGGAAGAGTGAACAAATGCAATCGTGCTATTCAGCATACATGATGTGGAAAATAACCTATGTAACTGGTGGGCAGGGATGGGAGGGGGAAACTAGGGGAAAATGAAGGAAAGAGTGACATTGTCCAAAAAATGAAATGTATTCATTACTTGATTTATGAAATGGTAACCCCTCTGTACAATACCTTAATAATAACAACACAATTATATAAGGAAAAAAAACCCAGAACTCAACTCTTCAAAGGTCAACTCTCTGCAGAAACTTGTTCCTGGTTCTCAAGGTGGGGAGGAGTGTGGCAGAAGGGAAGTGCTAGTTTCCACAACTATTTGAAAACCAGCTCAAATATTTGGTAGCTGGGTGACTCTAGACAAGTGACTTAATCTCCTTGACCCTCAGCTAGGTCACCCCTACACTGAAGACCATGATTTGAGGGGGAATCAATGACAGAATTCACTGATGTAACTGGCACCCTGAGGTACTGTGTATGTGCCCCTTCCTTTCCTTTGTTGGCTTTTGAGTTTGTTTTGTGGCTTATTAGCCTGGGCACTGGTAAGAAACAAGGAGCCAAGTCACAGGTGTGGGTGAAAAACAAAGGCAGAGGAAGAATTATAGCGTTGAAGTGGGGATGGAAGCTGGGTCAAGTTCATGGAAAAATGCACATTCTCTAAAATCAACCCAGGGTAGAGAACTGAGAATGGCCATGGAAATGACTAAGATGCCATTTCTACTCCTATCTTCTGGCTCACACATGTTAGAGTAGAGAGGAGTTCGTCACGTCTGGAAAAGTACAGAAAAGTCTTGTTCCTATCTGGTTTCTTCCTCTGGCAGGAGGTGGTAGCAGGTGGTAGATTTATGGATAGCCTCCAATTTCATACCTTGCTGTGCTGACTCTACTTCTAGCCCTTCAGACTGTCCATAGCATAGGGTCCTACTCTCCCTTAAGTTCCTCAATGACAAGGTGACTAGCTCAGGACCTATCAAGGGCAGCAAGTCACTCAGTTCACACCTGTGGCCATTTGCTGACAGAACAGTCCTCCACCTGCAGGGAGCTCTGGAGGCCTTGTTATAAATCATGCCACCCAACCTCAGCCCAGTTTCTCAGTTACCACATCTGGTTGGAGCTAATCCCACACGGCCTGGGTGCTGGTCAAGGGACCACACTTCAGAAACCTCCATACTGTGCTGTGGCCTTTACACAGGTGATTCTTTTTAAGGTCACTGTAACCCTAACATTCCATGCTTCTCTCATTCCACACTCCAGGCCTCACCAACATGCAAGGTCCCAGGAGTCCACCATGGGCCCAGCAGTAGACTTAGGAAAACAGGGTCCAGTTTTAGGGCTGGTAAGTGTTCTAGAATGGATTTGCCCCACCTGTCCATACCTGAAGGGAGGTCCGGGCCCTGATACTCATCTCCTCCAGGCAGTCCTGGTTCCCAGGACACTCTTCGGGATTTGGGGAAAGGCTCACTTCCCCAAACTTCGTTTTAGTTTACTAGTTCTTCTCTCTTTTCACAAAGGATGGAGGGGAGAGGCTGAGAGTTTCTGAGTGGGTGTGAATCCGGTGGCCGGAGGTCCCTCTCAACCTAAGGTCACTGACTCCTGCTCCTTGGTGCCTCTGGCCTGAGGCCTGGACTATGGTAGTAATGTTTCCTGACTAATCTAGTATTTCCACAGGCTGTTAATAAATATCAGATGCACAACAGATGAGAGTGGAAATACCTTAGAGCAAACTGGAGGAAGGGGCTTGTCTGCGCATGCCCCAGTGAGCCACCCCCCCTTTGGCTCTTGTTCACTTGAGCAGGGAGAATGGGATTGCTGGTGCTCCCAGAACCGTGTAGGGAAAAGCAAGAATTGGGAATAGTATTCCGCAGCTTTTCATTACTCATGCAAGACGGAAAAGCTACTTTTCAGGTGATTTGCATAAGGGCAGCCAGGAGACTGATGCCTGAACTGACCAATTTCCCCAGTCACACCCCAACCATCTGTTGGTGACAGGACACTTTTTCTCCAAGCCAGCCAGCTGAGGTTCCTCCACCTTGGACCCATCCTTTAGATCTGCAGTTCAGCAGAGAGGAATGAACCCAGCGATGTCACTACCATTAAGATGCTCACAGAGGCAAAAATACGACTTTCTTCACTCCTTGGGCAGGAGGCTGTTCTTTGGGGGTCAGTGGGAAGCAGAGACCAATTGGTTCCTAATTAAGTAAACCACCTCCCGGTCCTCCCCTACCTCTGTCAATAGCAATGGGGCTGGCCGAATTGGTTCCAGATGTTGAATTCTGATGGAATTCAATTTGGACTCACTTGTGCTTTCAGCTCAGGCTAAAACACTATTTAGGGGAAGAAGGGAAGGGAAGGAGGAGGGGGAGACAGGGGACACTGGGGATTAAAAGGGTGGCAGCTGCCTGTTGTGGGAAATGACACTATGACACATGGTGACTGTGTGGGATGACGGTGCACTGTTCTAGGAGACAAGAGATCAGGGTTGACACAGCCTGACACAGCACCACTGGCCTCTCTGGGTTGCAAGGACTTTATCTATAACATGGAGCTGTGATGTCACTGTTTGCAAATGATTCATTATTAACTAATGGAGGAGTCTAGCAAAGATGTACCCCAGGGATTCCTTTTAGGCCTCTGTTCTCATAACCTACAGTAGAATTTAATACTGCTTCAGGGTGGGACTGTACATACCTAATCTGCTGAAATGGAGCAACCTTTATTTCTCTTCATATTTTCCTGAAATCATGGGTAAGCTTATAAACTCAGTCAGGAAATTATGCCTCATGTCTAAACTGCTCCCCAAATCAATGGGATGCCCCATGAGCCAGGGCTGATATCCTCACAAGGCACAGTCTAAGTCTGAAGTGCTCGGCTGCCTGATGAACAGTGGATTTAGATCCCACTTTGTACAGTAAGTCTCCTTTCATGGAGTATTAAGTGTTACTATTATTACTGTTATTAATGTCTTTTACAACAGTCCTTCAACATCAGAACTCATAACAAAAGGGCTAAGGTAGGAGGACAGCCTATGATATCCCTGGACCCCAAAGCCTTTTGGAAAAGCCTGGGAGCAATGGCTGGAGGACCTGGGTGGGGAAAAAAAAAAAGAAGAAACCCTTTGGTTTCTGCTTTGTCCATCTGGCTCCTGAACCAGTGAATGTTGGTGATTCCCTCCCTCCTCCAGCCCCGAGCTCCCTACCAGTAATCTTCCATGCTTCCTCCTCTGCTGTAGACGGGGCCCTCCAGCTCCCTGGGATTTGGGAAGATGTTCTCATGCTGAATGATGATGGTTTTGATCAGCTCGTTCACGTGGGCTTGGCAGGACACCTGGTCGTGGCCCTCTGGCACTGACATCAGCGAGGGCCCAAAGCAGATGGCAAGGTTGTAGGGGTCCATCATGTTCTCTTCACTGAACTGTGATAAACTGGAGGAGAAGGAAGAGGGGGCAAGCTGGAAAGCTCTCGCATGAATGCCCAGAAAACACAATCACAGGAGGCAGAGGCAGAAAGCCTACAAATTGCCACCTGCCTTTCTGGCCATCGATTCCTTCCAGAAAGTTAGTTTAGGAGTGCAATGACCACCACCATAGGTAAGGTGGAGGTACTTGCTTGAGATCTTACACTTTCTTTTGTTCTAGCTTGTTAGTCAACTCCTTCTTCTAATTCTCACCCTACCCTTGATCTTATTCACCGAAGCTGCTCTGACTTGAGAACATGTCACTTGGCAGAGGGGCCCAACCCACAAGCAGCCAGAACAGATGGGCACATGGGGAACTTTTACTTGCCTTGGTGATGATCTGGTCAGGAGGTGTAGGCACTGGGCACTGTATACCTTCTTGTTTACCAAACACACCAAATTATTAGGGATATTCAACTTAAACCTCTAAATGGATCTTAAAAATAGCAGATGGATTAGCTTTTGTATTCCACCAGGACAGTGAATTTCTTTCTAGAACAGTTAATGCAATTGTTTTTCCTTTTCATAATATCCTCCTGTAGATTATATCTAGGAGTTTTTCAGGAAAAGGTCAGCATACTACTCAAATTCTGTTAGGCTTCCTCTGAGTGCAGAATGACTTAATTATTGGGTATTTATTTACTCTGGGAACTCCCCACTTCTCAGAGGCAGCTGCTCTAGCCACACCTCCGACCTTAGACAAGGACAAGGCCTTCAATGAGTAACTGCACCCAATGAGTCCCCATGGGTCCCCAACTGTCCAGGCAGAGAAAAGCTGGGCCAGCTCTGGATAGATCCCACATATAGCCTGAAGAGCTGTGAGCACTACTGTGGAGACCAGGCCTCCCTCTCTTATAGGTATAAGCAGGAAGTCCTTAGTATCTGAGTCTGAAAAGAATCTTGGAAAGAAACCAAAGCCCTGTGTTGCTGAGTTAGAAGTCCAAGCCTTAGCTGTCGTTATCAGGGCAGCTACTCTTTGGAATTCAGCAGAGTTGATTTCTAGAGAACCCTGCATTGAGAATTACATTATAAAGTTGGTTTCCCTCTAACCCAATGTGTTGGCTCTTGTACAGACTCCAAGCTCCTTCAAAAGTCAGTGCAGCCAGGCTTATGTCTGGAATCCTAGCTACTCAGGAGGCTGAGATCTGAGGATCATGGTTCAAAGCCAGCCCGGGCAGGAAAGTCCATGAGACTCTTATCTCCAAAACCACCAGAAAATTGGAGTGGCACTGTGGCTCAAATGGTAGAGCTCTAGCTTTGAGCTGAAAGCTGAGGGACAGTGCCTAGGCCGAGTTCTAGCCCCATGACCAACCAAAAAAAAAAAAAAAAAAAAGGCAGTGCAGACACATGAAGGGGCCCAATGGAAGAAGGAGCAGGGGCTGAGCATTGCTTTTCTGTATGACCTAGACCCAAATGCAGAAGAGGCCAGTGGTGGAGAAGCTATAGTCTCAGTGGCTGGCCTGCTTCCTGCCTCACAGGAATTCTTTTTGGCTTTTATGTTTATTATTGTTATGATGATATTATTGAAACAGGGTTTCAATATGTAGCCCAGATTGTCCTTAATCCTGAGATCCTCCCTCAACCTCCTGAGTGATTATAGAAGTGTGCCGCTACATTTTGTAAGAATTCACAGTGTTCTTCATTTATTTTATTTGTGTCCATACTGGGGCTTGAACTCAAGGCCTAGGAGCTGTTCCTAGCTTTCTCACTCAAGCCTAGCACTTTACCACTTGAGCCACAGCTCAACTTCTGAGGAGAGTTCTTTTTTTTTTTTTTTGTCGGTCATGGGACTTGAACTCTGGACCTGAGTGTTGTCCTTCAGCTCTTCAGCTCAAGGTTAGTGCTCTATCACTTGAGCTATAGCACCACTTCTGGTTTTTTGGTGGTTTATTGGAGATAAGAGTTTCACGGACTTTCCTGCCCGGGCTGGCTCTGAACTGCGATCCTTAGATCTCAGCCTCCTGAGTAGCTAGGATTACAGGAGTGAGCCACCGGTGCCTGGCTCTGAGGAGAGTTCTTAAATATTTAATTTTATAATCCTTCCCTCGATCTTGAGTTAGAAGGAAGCAGATTTGGGAAAGACTGGGGAAGTATTCATAATTACTTCTCTGCCAAATTAAAGTTGGAGACAGGAGACACACTTCCTTGGTAGCTTCAGCTAATCCCAGATTCAAGTATCATGGGGAGACAGGAATATCAGCAAGAACTTGTTTCTTAAATGTGGTCTGATAGTGTCTGGTATCATTCAGGAAATCAGTCTCTGAGAAGCTTAATGGTCAAAGGGAAGAAACTAGCACTGAGAGTCCCAAGTGAAAGCTCTAGGACAGGTAAAGAATGCTTGGAAGCTTCCTATGAAAAGGGATGTCCCATTCCTGAATGGCTACAGTGACCAGGAGCTTGAAGAAGGCATATCTTCACGGACCGTAGTCTCATGAATGTAGGTAAAAACAGACTAAGATCTTCTTTTCCCTTCCATCCACAGGGGGAATATTTATACTTAGGAGCTAAAGCAGTGGGGTTTTTACTATCTGGGGACAACAGATAGTAAAAACTATCCACAGATAGTACTATCTGGGGAACACAGATGTTTCCAAGAATTTGACAATTAAGTTGTACCGCAAGTGCCTGTAGTCCTAGTGACTTGGGAGACTGAGGCAGGAAGATTACTTGACTCTTAACAGTTTGAGGCAAGCCCAGGCTTACAAAACCCTGTCACAAATAAAAATACTCTGAAGGCTAGACATAGTGATGCATGTCTATAATTTTAATTACTCAGGAGATGAGACAAGGTGATCACAGTCTAAAACCCATTTAAAGCAAAAGCATGAGACTCTATCTAAAAAACACTAACCCTCAAATGGTAGAGTACTTGCCTAGCCCTGAATTCAAGCTCTAGTACCATATACCCACAAAAACCCTAAAAACAACTGGAAAAATTCATACATGTTCACACACAAATGCATACAACTTTGCATTATATGTCATAGTGTTAATAAGTAGTCTTTGAATATCCTGAAGGTATATAAGATCTAAATTTCCAAAGGGGAGGGGGCAGTCCTAGGGCCTGAACTCAGAGCCTGGGTGCTGTCCCTGATTCTCTTTGTGCTCAAGGCTAGCACTCTACCATTTGAACCACAGTGCCACTTCCATTTTTTTTTTTTTTTTTTGAGTAGTTTACTGGAGATAAGAGTCTCACAGACTTTTCTGCCTGGGCTGGCTTTGAACCATGATCCTCAGATCCCAGTCTCCTGAGTAGCTAGGATTAGAGGTGTGAGCCACTGGCGCCTGGCTAAGATCTAGATTTTTATTCTTAAATGAACATCATGGGCTGGAGATGTACTCAGTGGTAGAATTCTTACCTAGCACGTATAAGGTCTTGGGCTTAATCTTCAGTATTGAATCAAAACGAAACAAAACACAACAAAATGATAGCATTGATTAAACTCTCTGCTTTTCTGTTGATTTACATACATGTCAGACTCTAAGAATTTGGATTTATTTTTGATATCTATGTGGTATCATGTGTCAGTAGTTTAACTCCTCTTTATAACTGAATAATAACTCACTGTGTGAGACTTGGAAGCAGAACTCAAGCTTTCAGATGAGCCCACAGCCCTGCCCCAACACCTTTACCACCACTTCATGCGACCTTGGGCCCATGGCCTCAGCTAACCTATACCTGGAGAGCCAATTCACAGAAACTGGGTGATATTAGTGTGTACCTGTTTCTAGGATATTAAGGGTGCATATAGTCCAAGAATAAATTCCAGTCCCCTCTAGGACCATAGAAAATGAAGGAGAGGGTCCTGAAAGTGTGGACCTAGGCAGAGGCTTCACCAAGAGCTATCAGCTAACTCTGTCCACATTTCTTGTTAAAGGCCCATCTTTCCATGGAAGTGCTCTTCTTTACTACCTGTCTCCTGCATTCTATTCACTATAAATTTAGGAAACGTTGTGATTATTCATGCTGCATCTTTTAAATGAAATTGATTTTGATAAGCAAAGAAAACAAAATTAATGATTGGAATTCCCATGTTTTCTTCAATGACAGCCACCATCTCCAAGCTCTGTGTGAAGCTTATTTGATTGTTTCTCCTCCTCTGTGGCTCAGAAAGAGAATGAGATGATTGTACCTTCACATGCCCGAGGCCCTCCTAGATCCCCTCACCTCTGATTTGGCCTCCTTGCTCACGGCAGGCAAACCAGACTCACACTGAGGACAAGTATGGTCGTAAGGGAAGACAGGGATGGATGAGGGGGCTGACTAACTGGATAGTAATAAGCAGAGCTTCCTGGTTGCTTATAAACTGTGTAAGTCTGCCTAAATCTGTGTAAGTCATGAGGGGCGCTGAGTCAGGATCTGGCCAGTGAATGAGGCAGATGTAGCCTTGTGGAGGAGGTAGGTTGGGGAACTAGGACTCTCTGTATATCTGCAAGGCTAGTAGCAGGGATATGTGATGGTATGGGCATCCCAGAGAGAATTCTAGTTGTGGCTGTTAACCCAGATACTTATAAATCTAGGCTACCCAGAATTTGTAAGCAAGATAAAGCTTCTGAAACTGTTTCTGTTGTATTCCTTTTATGCAGAGACCAACCATGTAGGAAGACTTCATCTTCACAAAGAAATATGCCCTAAAAAGTTCCCTGGCATCTTTCCTCCACTTTGATGGACACACGGATCCAGGGAACTGTTTCTTAACTATGTGAAAACCTTGCAAGCCAGTGTGATGACAGATGACAAGTGAAATCATTTTCTGGACTGAGGAGTAATGTGGATGGCTGGGGCCCATGGTAAACTGAGGCATGCCTGTCCTGACTCCACAGGGCACTGCTGGAACATCAGGTTGTAGGTCTCACTTAATCACTTTTCAAAAGAATGATCAATCAATGTTTTTTGTCGGTTGTAGGGCTTGAACACAGGCATGAACTGGGTGCTGTCCCTGAGCTTTTCTGCTCAAGGCTAGCACTCTACCACTTTGAGCCATAGCTCTGCTTTCAGTTTCCTGGTGGTTAATTGTAGATAAGTCTCACAGATTTCCTGCCGGGGCTGGCTCTGAACCATGATCCTCAGATCGCAGCCTTCTGAGTAGGAAGGATTACAGGTGTGAGCCCCCAGCACCCGGCTAAAAATCTATTTTAAAAAGTAGAATACCAAATAGTTTGATGTTATCTCAAGGTTTTCAAGACCTGAGGAAAACACACTGGGCATGTTATCTGATGGATGCCCAGGCTGCCACTTATAACTTTTGTTCTGTGTTGTTGGGGGAGAAGTTACAGTGAAAACAGAATCAAGACAGAGGGACCTAGGAGGGGAAGCACCCGTGTTCCTGCTTTTTGCCTTCACTACCATGTTGTGCTTTCCCTGGGCAAAGACACACTGCTTTGGACAGGTACAAATGCCTCATCCAAATCTAGAGCTCCTATGGTTCTCAGGCTTTTTGTCTAGCCACACTTATTCCCTAGGCAATCAGCTGAACACCAACATATGAGTGACTCTCATTTTGATTCTACCCTAGGTTTCTCCCAGAGTGTCAGATTCCTATGTTCAGCTTCCTATGTCAGCTACTTAAAATCTCCACTTATATGTCTAATTGCTCTGCCCATCTGGCCCTGTCTTGATCCCCTCTTCCATACCTGTTTTCCCTGCGCTCCATAAATGTCTTGCCCACTTTTCTGTGGCTCAAAAATTTAAGATTTCTTTCCTCAGTCTACAACTAGCCCATCAACAAGTCCTAACAATGGTATATTCAAAGTATATCGCCAGCCTGACCTTGCTCATCACCCTCTAGTCTACTGACACCTCACCAGACCACACAGTGTTGGAAAAAGGCTCTTTTTTCTTCACAACTCTCTGAGATAACTTCTCCACAAAGCAGTAGGAAGGTTTGAAAATAAACAAAATCAGATCATAACTGTTGCACTTAAGATATTCCAATCATTTCTCAACTCTAAGCTCACCATGACCCTCATGCCTTGAGTGTTCCCATGGTACCCTTTGTATTTCATTTAGGCTGTGGCCTATACCTTGTCTTACATGAGAATCCTTGGCACCCCACCTGTCTAACGTATTTTCGGTCCTTCCACCATTACCCCTATAATCCCCCTGCATTCTATTCACTTCTTTACTCTTTTTTCTTAAGCATTTATTCCATCTGATAGCTGTGTTATTCTCAGTTCCTTCCTCTGAAACAAGATAATATCAAGGCCTTCTCTCTCATTTAACAATGTATTCTTATAGCCTATTGCTATGGCCAACATACTCTAGATACTCAGTGAGTTCTGTTGGGATGGATGAATAGGCATAAGTCTACATGGAACTTCCAGTGGCCAAAGTCAAGACCTGATCCAGTTGTTTACTGAGGAGGCTACTTACTGATTAAGGAAGGCAAAGAGGTATCTCATGATAATCAGAGTGGTTTTGGGTAGGACCAGGAGGACTTTCCGGATGTGCAGTGCTCTCTCCTGCAGGTTGTCCATTGCTGAAAGAAGAAAGCCATCTGTTATCTTCTCCTGTGATTGTGATCACAAGGAGCAATGGTCTTAAACCCCTTACTTCCAGAGGTGCAGCACAGCTACCGATTAAACCTGCAGAACACTAACATACAGCAGCAGGAGTTTCATCCCAGTTGCTTGAGGTAGGGCTGCTGGAAGAAGGTACTAATTGTATCCTCCTTAGACATAGACAGGACTAGAGCTGTCCCCCCAGCATCAACCACCTTCTTACTCAAATTCCCACAGATAAGGAGCTGACTGATCATAAACCTGCCATGATTGCTCAACACCCAGACCTGGAGAGCCCTCATCTTGGGAGGGAAAGAGATAATATGGGTCCTCTCCTATCCACACTATACATGATCATCTCCTCCTGTGGACAAGTCTGGCTGATCTTTTCTCCCTTATCTGAGGATAGGAGTGGAGTGTAACCAGATGTGGGAACTGAAAAGTCTCTGGGTAAATAGCGATATCACAGAAGAAGACGAGAAGTTCCTTGACTCCTATGCTGGACAGATTAGTTATAGGAATGGCCTTGTGCCTGTGGTCTCCATCATGAGCAGCACTCCCTTCTATAGTGTGCAACGAGGATACTGTCATTTTTGACTACTGCCTTTATGTAGAAAAGACAAGGTAAGGACTGAGCAAGAGTACCTCTCCCTTAGAGATGTACTCTTTACAGACTGCCTGGCACTCTTGTCTAGCATAAGAGACGTCACCTAGGTCCAGTTTTAAAAGACATGAAGAAACAACTCAAGCAGTGTTCATGTCTGTTTGTTTATTTTTAATTGTGTTTTTTGCCTTTTCTTTTTTGGTACTGGGGATCAAACCCAGGATATTGCACTATACTAGGCAAGTGCTTTGTCACTGAGCCCTAGGGATGGATGTTCTTAATCATCCATGTAGTTCCTTTCCTCTAGACTCCATGTAGTGGGTCAACAAACAAAACAAGAGAGCTAGCATCTTGAATGCTCTGGAGCTTTCTCAAAGTATCTGAGGAGGAGAAGTCTACTGAGTAATCGCTGAGTCAAAGGCAGACGTATCTTATCTTCATTTTAAAGGTATGGTTCCCGTAGCCACTGACAGGATCTTTCAGATTGAGTCTGCTTCCAGGATGACCTGATACTGATCCAAGTTTCTGTGGATTGTTTTCCATGAAAACCAGTGACAGGATGTTTTAGTATCATGAGTTAACTTAAATGGGCAAAGGCAATAGCTTTTCAAGTCCCCAATTTTAGAGTAAGAGGCAGGCAGACAACCCCTAAGAACTGAGAACACAGTTAGCAGGGTAGTTAGGACATGTTTAAAGCAAAAAGCAGGAAATACTTCCAATAGTTACACTTTTCCCTTGGTATCATAAAAATCCCAGTCACTGATGTGTAAGCTTCAAGCAATTGAAAAGATGGCATCTTATGGATAAAGATACTTTATAAAAGGAAAGTAAAGCTTGGAGAAGTCCAGGAGTTTACAACTGAGGCAAAACAATGAAAAAAGCTCAGGAGGTCCCTCTTTGGGTCTTTAGACTATTATTTTTTAAAGTGGCACTGTGGTTTTTGAACTCAGGGCTTCTGCTTACTATGCTGGCATGTTATTTGAGCTACATCTCTAGTCTTGCTTTTTTCTGGTTATTCTGGAGATGGAGTTTTGCAGACTTTTTTGTCCAGACTGGCTTCGAACTGAGATCCTTCAGCTCTCAGACTCCTGAGTAGCATGAGCTATCAGCACTGGGGTGGGTTCTAGATTCTTACTGGAAAGTCATTCTTCTCTTCATATCCTCTCCCCACAAATGATGGTGGAGTGGACATAAAAAGGAGAAACTCACTGGGGAAAATGAAATTTCTGAATCTCTTGCTTCCAGATGCTATGGCTCCAGAGCCGATGGGAGAACAGGATGGTACTTACTGACGCAGGCCATCAGGTCATGGAAGATGTCCTTGGGGAAGAGTGGGTGTTCCAGACCCCGGAAATAAAGCTTCAGGACACCAGCTATGGAGTCCATGTCATGGTCATTCTGGTCCCCAGCCAGGGGGTCTTCTCCTGAGATAAGCATCCCCCCACAAAAAAAGGGAAAGCAGTGAGAGAGGCAAAAACACTTAGAATGAAGCAGAGGCAGTGGAGGATGGGTGCTTGTGCCTTCATCCATTTCCGTAAGTGGATAGACTAAGGAATAGGTAAAGCAGATTACAAGGCTTAGGACCATTCCCTTGAGGATGGGATTGGGACACAGGAACTGCATTCTCTCACAGAATCACAAAACCAGGCTATGACTGAGCCCCCTAGGGGAAGAAAATGAGGCCAAAGAGACCAGCTTTTCTGACTAGCTCTTACCCCTCCTGGCCTGCAGCAGAGGACACCTACTTACGGGAGAACAATCATGCCAGAGCTCCCTATGGAAAATTTCCTATCAGATGTAATTAGATTTAATGATAGGACCAACCTCAAATTGAAACTATATATATCCATTACAGTGACGGAAATTGCCAAAGCTTGCCCATTACCTTAATAGCCCACAAGATAATAAATGGGCTACAATGAACAGGCGCATTAGCCTTGATATTAACTGCCACCAAGGGTTTTGGATAGGCCATAAACTGCATGGATATCCTAGTTAACTTCTTGAGTTTTGGCAGATCATCTGCAGGAGAGAGGCAGGGTGGGTGTGGCTGAGAAGGAAGGATGCTGGAATGTACTCCCCACATCTCCCTGCATATCTAATGGGGAGTTTATGATGAGAGTTGGTGAACAGCTGAAGAGGGCAAAAAGCTGGCTTCTTAAACTCTGGGTCCTCTCAGAGGAAGAAGGTGGAGAGGGACACATCTGGTCTCATTGTCAAGGCTGTCCCCTCACCTCTCTCAAAGGCATTTTTGATGTCATTCACTTCCACCTGGGATCCAGACACTCGGAAGATTCCTTCATGCTGTAGTCCTAGAAACACACAGGAGAAATGATCAATGAGAGACGGTGAGCTCACAACCACAATGCCAAGCTTAGTTAAATATTTAGCCCCCCCTCCAGCAGTGTGCACAGCACTCAGTTTCTCTCTCTCTCTTTTTTTTTTGCCATTCTTGGGGCTTGATCTCAGGGCCTGGGCACTGTCCCTGAGCCTCTCTGTGCTCAAGGCTAGTGCTCTACCACTTGAGCCACAGCACTTCCTACCTTTTCTGTGTATGTGGTCCTGAGAATTGAACCCAGGGCTTCATGCATGCTAGGTAAGAACTCTACCACGAAGCCACATTCCCAGTCCTATTTTTTCAAGCCCCTCCCCCAAAACAAAACAAAACAAAGCGTAGGGCCAAAGGGAATATCACTGTGATGTTTATGAAGTACTAGCCTAAAGAAAATACCAAGTCAGACACTTAAGGGAAGAGCTGTGTACAGCTAGCTTCTCTTTTGACTCAGAGGGAGACTGTCACACAGTAGCCTTCCCCCTGTCTTTGCCTGTCTGTTCTCACCTGTAAATGGGAAGTGGCCCATCATCTTTATTACCCAGGGTCAAGAACAGGAGATAAGATCATGCATGCAAGACATTAGGAACTGTCAGATGAGTCTCCTAAGATCTGAGGTCATAAATGAATTCTTTTGTTGCTTTTATACAGTCCCACTAGTCTAGGGAACGATACCTTCAGATGATAGGAGGACATGAAAATAAAAGTGATCTGTTAACAGACAGTACTGCTACCACTTAGGTATAACTTTTGCTTTAAAGAAAGCATCAGCAATGTTACATTATGGTAACATGCATATGCACGTGCACACACACACACACACACACACACACACACACACACACACACACACACACACACACACACACAAGCCCTCTGTATTTTTGGGTTTTGTTAAGAGAAGAAATAATCATGAAAAATAAAGCTTGTATAGTGATTATTGCTAAGATGCACGTTCATATAAATAAAACACTTGGTGCCCACAAGTGGAAACTTCACAATAAGGTCAGGATTAGCAGTAGTCTCATTTCTTAGGTGAGCAAATTGATGAATGGTGGCTGCAGTCATGAACTCATCATCCCTCAAGACCAACTCATGAGGCCTCTTGGTGTGTAGAAAGGGTGGGAGTTGCACTGGCCAATCTGGAGCTGGCTTCCAGAGAGCCCCACATATGCAACTGCAAAGCCAGTAAGAGATCCATCTGGGCCTTGGGGATGAGCTGAACTGGCATCTCTAATGAAGCAGGACAGCCTAGCCTTTCTTAGGAGCCCTGGTCTCAACTTTAGCCATTCTGTCAAAATCCTTCTGTGATGGCATCTCAGGGAAACCTCACATTTCTTCTAAGAAAACAAAGCAACATTTTGCTGGCTATTTCAGGGTTACCTTGTCAGTGAGAGGCAGCTGGATTCAATCAGCTGGAACTCTGGCAGGTAAACTGATGAGGACTGAAATTGCTGAATCCAATTGAAACAGTATTAAGAAGTAAGCAGAAGGAATGTGATTACCTGGCTTGTAATAAGACTTAAGTTGTCTGCTCCTCTAAGGGAATCTACAGACTGTTCCTCACAGGATGGCAGACAATGTTAAAATCTCATTAATACCCATGTAACAGTAGTATGTTAGTTATCAAATGGGATACCAGAGCCAGATAATGTTGTTTAAAAAAAGAGAATATAAATAATGAGTTGACAGAAACAGCCACATACCTAGTAGTGACTTATTAGTTAGACACAGGGTAAGGAATGACATCGCAGAGGCCAGGCTGCTCAGTGTGTCCTAGCTGCTGATGTACAGCACAGTTTCTAGCTGGCCCAGCACCAGCTAGGGAGAGGGTCACCTTGTTGCTTTGGGGTAGGCTAGACCACCAAGGGAATGGTATTGGCCCAAGGTTCCAGGACAAGTAGAGAGAAAAGGTGTTGGAAATTGGGCAAGAGTCCTGAAACAACATGAGCTCCGTTTGGTCTAGTTTCTGGTTTTCCTGGAGGAAGGTGCTTTAGAAGGACTGCTTAGTTCTTCCTCAACAGACAAAACACTTTATAGAGTGCCTTACATGATGCTTCTGAGAGCAGATACTAAGTTTTCCAGAAAGGAAAGGGGAAAACCAGCTGCCTTTTGATTCGAATGCAGGTAAATCCTTGCATAAACAAAATGGCAAACCCACAATGTTTAGTTCTGTACTTTTTCATAGTGAATGTCAGCAAGAAAGTATAAAGCCTACTGGACTTGGGCAAGTTATTTTATATTTGGCAAAAGACCTCCCATTTGGTGTGGGATTCAGCTCTTGCTGAGAGTGATTCTTCCTGGGTAATGCTAAATGACTGCTGTAGTAGCCACCCCATGTTCCCTTCCTCATGGAAAAGATGGCTCCTCATGTTCCCTCTTCTCTTTTAAGAGGACCCAAATCATCCTGACCCACCCACACAAGGATGCTCATATATCTTACCTAAGTAATAAAGGATTTAATGCTTTCCTCTGGGGGTAGGGGGTGAAGAGCGGTAGTGGTGAAGATAGTAAGGACATAAAAATTCCTAGCACTGAGAGGCCCAGAGACAACTGTGAGACTGACAAAGTTAAGAAGGGTATCCCTATTAAATACATACAGATACTTTAGGGATTTTTTTTTGTGTGTGTGTTTTGGGGGTGGAGGGGAGAAGTTCACAAAAACCTAGAGTCATTATTTGAGGGAAAAAAAATCAATTTAGCTGAATAAGCTACCTAAATTTGTAAGCTAACACCCTAAGATGAAAAAAAATCTATTTGTTTGCTTAATTCAAAAATATACATAAAATAATTTGGACTTGCTCACCTATACTTCATTAACTTGTGTTTGTTTACGGCTATTTTTGCCTTTAGACTAGTAGTATATAGTCAAAGCATTGTTGTACAAAGTTACTTGGTTAGTTCTTTTCTTCTTCCTCATTCTCTTCCAATGTGGTATGCATTTGTGACACAACTTTACTTAACACTGTTCACATTCCATCTGTGTTTTACTTACATTCGAGTTTTATTTGTCTATCCACTGAGTATTAGAAACCTTAGCATAGTTTTAAAAGTCAAAACTATATAAAAAGATACTCAGAAAAATGCTCCCATGCCTTTTCTATCTCCCATTGCCCAAACACTCCTTTGTACCAATTTTCTGTGATAACTAATAACATACTAGCTTCTAGATTGATTTTTTTCCTGTATTTTTGTTAGCAATGAGACAGTAATTATATATTCTTATATTTTTTACATGAAAGACAGCACACTATAGATACTCTTAAGTATTTCTTCTTTTTCACTTCTAGGGTGTTGGAAGTGTGCTTAGTTGGTAGAACGCTAGCCAATGAGTGAAAGCGTCAGGTATGAAGTCGGAGTCCTGGCCTCAGACAAAAACAACAGGTCATAGGGATCTTGCCATATCAAGTCATGAACATTGTTCTCATTGCCTTTTTGCAGTTGTGTAGCGTCCATTACAATGGATGGATGTAGTCTTTTCAACAACTCTTCTATGTATGGGCATTTAGGTTGTACTAGGCAATGCATGATGCTCAGCATTGATCAGGGGCTTGATACATATTTGTTGAATATTCAGTAGTGAGGTACAGTGTTCTTCCCTTAAGTGGATAGAGATAACATTTAAAAATTGCAGCTAATGGAGAGTAAGATAAGTAACTATTTTAGCATTCTTACTGTTCCAAAAACCCAAGCAGTGTCTCTGTTTATAGGGCAAGGAGGAGAATGACTGCCTTTGGATTTAGACAGCAATACTTTATATTCCTTCTTAGCTCCAGGACCTCCTTTCATATCACCAAGGAAGACATTAACTAAAACAACTTCTGATGCCTTCACATCTTTCTAGATACCTTCACATCTGTGCTTTGTAAAACAATACTCTAACCCTTGGAAAATCAATTCCCTGGCAATTATCTCCATCCCTAAATTCTGTCCAAGCAGACCAGTAGCTAGTAAGGAAGGGAGTTATTAGATTTAGCTCTGTCCAAGCAGAAGGATTAGTGTGATTTGCCTGAGACTGAGAAAGAGCCAGCCCCTGCAGACTCCCAAATATTGAATATAACTTTAGGAGCAGTTAATAATTGAGTTCTTATGGGACACTGTATCCAATAAAACCAAACCAGAACAAAATCTGACTACTATAAGAGACCAGGGAAATAGAAATGGAGTTGTTTCTAACTACTCTGGGGACAAAATGGCCAGGCTGTGCCATGGAGCTACCTATACATGCAATAGCTTTGACTAATGGAGAAGCTACTGCCACCAAGGACGCCCATATTTTCTCGTACAGCAACTGGGATTTAAAACTTATTTTTGAGTTAGAAAAAGGCATATGGTTAGCTACTGTGGAGTTTTGGGTCAAAATGTTATCTTTCAACGTCTAGGTGTGGTCATTCTGAGGTAGCACATAGTACTTGGAGAATGTCAGGATGGGAAGGCAATCTCTATTCTTGCTCTATGAACAATTCCTGGAAGTCCTTCCCAACCTTCACACAAATATAGGCAAGGCTGAAACTCTGCTTACCGTGTCTGCTGATAAACCGGATGCAGCTTTCTACCACCAAAGGAATTGTCTGGCTAGAGTCCTGAAAAGCCAAAGAGAAACACTCTATCAGAATGGTCAAACTAGGATAGCCTAGGTCAGAGAAAGTGAGCCATATCATGTGGAACACTTAGCTGGCCCCATGGGTGGCCCACAGAGAGGTTCCTGGTCTCTCTATGCCCTCCAATCAGGGCACAAAACCACAACCACCAACTGGGAATGCCACACAGATGCCTTTAAATCCAGCATGTCTGAATTGGAGTAGGTCACCTTTTATCTACCCTCTCCCTGCCTGCGTCCATCCAATTATTCTGTCTGGGCTTCTAAAATCTTTCAAGTCTATTCACTTCCCTAGCTGCATGCCACCATCCCAGCCCAGTCCACCAGTACCTCTATTCTCACCCTTCATTCGCACTTCTCTTCCTTCACATAGGGGATTGTCAAGAGTATACACCTCATCATTAAACTTCCAGAGACTTCTCTTTGCTCTCTTCATAGTTGTACATGGTCAGGGTCCTGCCTATGCCTTCAAGGCTCCTAGGTCTGTTCTTGACCTTTTATATCAGCCACAGCCACAATGACCTTTCTGTTCCTCACATGAGTGGCTCCTGCTGCTGACAGCTCTCCTAAACCCTGACTGTGACTTCCATGACAACTACATCTTAGGCTATACCAGGGCACCTTCTATTTCCAGTCCTGGGGACCCATTACTGGCAACAATGCTCTAACATAGTGGGTACTCAATTAACACCAGTTGAAGATCAAAGAATGACCCAAAGGGAGCTTCAGAAAGAGAGTTTGTTTGATAGAAAAGAAAAAACAAACTCCTGGAAGTAGTGGAGATAATCAGATAAGAAAAGCTACTGCCTTCTATGTCCATTTTTGTTCTGTACTTCGTTCTCAGAGTAATCTTGCCCAAGTCATTTAACTTCTATGGACTTCATTTTGCCATTCACAACCTGAGGAGGGGATGGTGGCAAGGGCAGTAATATTTCCTCTTGGCATGTGGATATTAGTGTTTACCATTTACAGAGATGTTGAGCCATGTACTCAGGTAAATTGGTCCTCATAACAATCCTACAGACTAGGTGTTATCATTACTTTTATTCTTACTTGACAACGAGGAAATGAAGGCTTAGTGGGGTTAAATCGTTGCTTATGATCACAGAGCCAGAAAGTGGCAAGGCCAGGATTAAATGCTGCATCCCCCTCTGAGACTGAACACTTTACAACACTGTTTCCTAGGAGGTCACCAAACAATTATTACTAAGAACCAGGAGGGTTTTATAATGCAGCAGCATGTATAATAATTGAGCTGTGTAGAAGAAAGACATCAAGCAGAGGCCCAGAACCTAGCTAGAAAAGGCTTCAGGTGGTCAGGACAGACACTGGACTCTCCAGTGGAGTGGGCACTAGCACTGCTTGCCCATTTCATAGTTTTTTTTGCCTTTGTCCCTCCTGGCTCTGAATTTCCAACTGTAGCCACAGGGTTTGCTGCCATTAGAGAGGCAGCTGGGTCTCATGAAGAACAAGACTGAGAGAAGAGCTGGCTTAGCCTCTAGCTTGCCAGGAACCACAATGATGCCAAAGGAGAACTGTATATGCCAAGGTGGAGCGGGATCAGGAAGGTCTCTGTGACCCAAATGCTCAGCTTTGCAACCCCCTGAACCATCTGCTTCCTCTAGCTCTCAAGCTACAGCAGTCAGGTCTGTCCTTTGACCTCTGCCAGTCAAGTCAAGTGATCTTAGAAATAAAACCTTAATCCTGTCTTCTATACTTTAGCGAAGAGTCTGGGTTCCATTACTAGGAGGAAAAAAGCTTCATTTTTCTGGAAAGTCTTTTATGTTTATAGACTGAAGTTATTATAGGCTTCATTTATAAATAGCAGCAGCAGAGATAATGATGATAATAGCAATATGGGAATTGGTAAAGTTTTTCTGGCCCCAAATTTATATATAAAGGCTTGGCAGAAGTTGGGAAGCTCATAGATTATTGGCTTCAACAAGTTATGTGAATGCAGCAAATCTGTTTGGATGTGCAGAAAATAGACTATCAATGGCAAAATGAAATAGGCATGATTGGCAAGAAACAGGATGTTGAAGAGATTACCCTGCATGTCCATGGTCACCAAGAGTACATGGAAGTAGCTCAGAGGAATAACCTGTGGTATGCAAGGGTGGGCCTGCAGTGACACATCATACTACAGAAGAGCATTGTTCTTGTCCCACTGCTTCCATGGAGCCTAAACAAGTCTCCAGTATGAATAAATAAGAGACAAAGGCATAAAGGCTTTAGATAATCCTTCCTGCCATCTTTCCTGCTTCTCGTGATGTTTCTAAACTATGAGTGAATTCACTTCTCCAGCTGTGAATGCCCCAATTTCAACACCAACTTCACACAACTAACAAAGTAATTTCTTCTTCTTTTTTATTGTCTGAGACCCAGACTCAAACTCAGTTTCTGATGTTTTCACTCATTGGTTGGTGCTCTACCACCTGGTTGGAACCATGTCTCCAACCCCAATAGAGTAATTTCTACGTTTTCATTCATATTTTTTTCTCTCCCCATTCTCCCAATGGTAGAATGAAGGTCAGTTCAATTTTTGTTGTTGTTGTTGTTCACAGTAGTTTTGGTCATATAATCTTAAAATTGGAAGAGGCCTTTAAGGACATGCTGGCTAAATTTCCATCCAATCAGGTTAAGGTCACTGATGGGAGACAGACAGTAGGTATAGCTTAAAAAGATAGTAGAGCAGTGTTCCAGTAATTTGCAGGAAAAAAAACAATCAGAAAGATGGTCAGACAGTGTCTGAAGTATGTCTCCTTCAGCATAACTTCTTTTATTTTTATTTTGGTATAACCTGGGTATTAACATTTTTATTTGTTTTTAAAATTTATCTTAACTGACGTGAAAACATAAAATTGTACATATTAATGAGCTACTAGGTGATGTTTTGATGCATGTATATATTGTGTAATGTTTAAACTAGGTTAAATATACCTACCTCTTCTCTTCTATTTGTGCTGAAAATATTAAAAATCCTGTCTTCTAGTTTGTGGAAATGTATGATATATTACTGTTATCTGTGGTCATCCCAGTGTAACAGCACATGCAAACTTACCACTTGGTATCCTTCAGCAACCTTTCCCCACTGGCGTTACTTCTTGTGAGTAAGAGTTAGGGTGTTTGTCAGGTATTGACTTCTATTAGATTTTTTTTTTTTTTTTTTTAAGATTTCTGCTTTCATCAAGGGAGAAAAAGCAAGTTTGGACAACTGACTAGATGTGGGTAATGAGAAAGAAAAAGGTGTCAAAGGTAAGATTTGGGGCCTTAGAGACTAGGAGGGATAGAGAGTCCCTATTAATGGAAATAAAGAAGTTAGGGGGAGGAACTGAGGAAATGGAAATGTGGTAGGGGGAAGAGACAACCAATGTTTAGAATAGCATTATCTCTACTTTCAAGCACAGAAGTCCAATCAGTTGCTTAGACCTACAAACTAAGGCAGGCAGGGCCTCGGAAAGTAGGGGAGATTGGGGACGAAGAGACAGCGCCATCTAGGAGAACACAGTGACATGAAGGGAAGTTAACAGAGGGCCAAGCCTTGGGGAAAAGCCTAAATCTACAGGAATAGAGAAAGTAAGACCAGGAAAGAAGACATGGAAGCAATGGCCAGAGGAGAGAAAATGCTAGGCTTAACGGAAGCAGAGAAAGTCTGGAAACGACATTTGAGGTGCCTTTCTCTTAAGAAAGGTCTGGATGGTTTAATTGTTTCTGCTGGGTCAAAGTGACTAGAATTCATTAGATAACTGGAAAAAAATGCAAAACAACAACATATACAAATAAAAAGTGACATCCTGACTGTTTATATAAGATTACTCATCTTCCAAATTACTATTTTGCTCTCTTTCCCATTGTAGAAAAACCTTAGCTGGCCTATCATTAGATCTGAACTGCTGGACAGAAACTGGGGTAGCAAAACAAAATACAAGGCCTTCATTTGATTGGGACTTAAGAATGTAGTCTTATGCAAAGAGTACCAGGCAAATACACTTTGCTTGCAACTGCTTAGGTACAGCAGAATGCAAACCAGCTTCATGTTGCTCCCCTCCAATGGTAAGCCCACCCAGGGGTTGGTCAAATTTTGGGCTCCAATACCACTTCTGCAGCCAGAGCAGAAGTTGAAAACCCATCACTCTTATGCTGCATCTCCAAGCAGAATGCCCAGTTTTAGATGAGGAACTGAAAGGAACAAACTTCAAGTACTTCCTATTCATGGTATTTAAAGTAAAATGGCTTGTTCAGTCTTTAAGCCATTCATCTACCTGTGAATTCTAAATGAAATAAATTATCCCCAGGAAGCATTTCATTCTTCTCTAATATAAAGTGAAATTATGGCAGAAAGGGGAAGAAGAAGGAAACAGGAACAAGGAGGAGAGTTGTAATGCTTTTTTGTATATTATGTATATATATATATATATATATATATAGATATAGATAGATAGATAGATAGATAGATAGATCAATAAATAGAATAAAATAAAATGAGATCCAGGGCCAGGGGGATGGCTTAAGTGATAGGTATCTTCCTAGCAAGTGTCAGTTCAAACCTCCATAACACCAAAAAAAAAAAGCCATAAAAACATTAATGACTATTTAAAATCAACAATTTGAAAAGGAAAAAAAATGAGATCCAATGTCAGGGTACAGTGAATAATGACAGCAGAGCTAAGACAAGCTAGGTGTGATGTGAGTGTCCCAGATGGCTGCCCCCCAGCCAGAGCAGCTGGACCCCTGAAAAGCCTGTGGGGGGAACATGACCTCCACATCTGATTATTGCCCTGTGGCTAGGGTCACTATGAATTACCCAGAATGACTTTTTTTTTCTTTTCTGCTAGTCGTGGGGCCTGAACTCTGGGCCTGGGCGCTGTCCCTCAGCTCTTCAGCTCAAGGCTAAAGCTATACCACTTGAGCCACAGCGCCACTTCCGGCTTTTTCTGCTTATGTGGTGCTGAGGAATGGAACCCAGGGCCTCATGCGTGCAAAGCAAGCACTCTACCAGAACCACCTTCCCAGCCCCCAGAATGACTTTTTGAAGCCTGGACCAGTTTTCCCCTGAATAGATAGAAAAAGATTTCTGAGCTCTTTCTACTCCCTTCTTGCTAACTGCCTTCTGCAACGCTGGAATGAGCTTAGGGAACACAAAACCATTTCTGTATTTGCCATAAAGTATAATTAGGAAGTCAAATTTGCTACTGCAAAAAAAAAAACTTCAATTAATTTTTTTTAAACAAGCACAAGTGCTGTTTAGATTATTCATTGATGTGGATTATCCACACGACTGCTCCCTAAGATCCTTCCTAATATGGGTAATGAGAGTTGGCTGCCGGTGGCAGATTTTAATATAGTATAGTGAACATCATTTGCAGAGTTGAATGTGTCTTGCCTATCACTCCTGGACCAGATTTATTTCTGCACTATTAGCATGTAGCAGGACCACATCTAGGATGATCATGCTATCAGAAACAAACAAAATCTACACATTTTCACAAGACTGTCTAGTTCCGGGGATTGTCTGCTTTGAGTTCTTGACATTAATGCATACATAAAAAAGAGCAAGGCTGTTGTGGTCTTCTAGAAAAGGATGCCATGGGGGATTCTGGCAAATCTGCCCAGGCCAAGCCAAATCTTAAGTGTTCATGACTGACTAGAGAAAAGAATGAGTCATAAAACCTATGACCACTCTAATGGAAGTTTACTCAGTGAAGTTGCTGTAATCTTAACCATGCCATGACTATGGGTACATAGAAGTGCCTGTCCTGTTTTCAGTTCCATAAATAGATAGGATTTGCTCAGTTTTCATGCCTGAAAATTGCGCAAGAGCCTGGCTTTTGTTAGGTTCTTACCTGTTTCCTCACGGTGGAGCTACGTCTGTGATTGTTCCCATGGAATTGGAGATGACCAATACAGCAACAGGGAGGAAAGAGAAAAATTAAGACAGAATGAGACAACCAATCACTTTTAAACCCCCAACATAAAGCTTTTAGTTATGAAAATAAGCTATGTGGTGATTAACCAGACAAGTCATATTATTGAGTTCAGGTCCAGAAGTGGTAAGGGTCTTGGTAAAGTTACTTTTCTTTTTCTTCTTCAGTATGAGGGATTGAACTCAGGGCTCTGTGCTTGCTAGGTAGACCTTCCACCACTTTAACCATGGCTCTAGCCTGATAATTTACTATCACTCAATAAGCTTTGCTCTTCACAGAAGCACAGAGATTCCTGCTTTTAATATGTCATATCCAAAATTCAAATAGGAGGGAACCGGTTCAACCTCTAGTAAAAGAGATTTCACAAACACCAATGGACATAATGCTTGCTTTCTCTTGGATTTCTTCAGAGAAAAAAAAAGGGAGTTATTTTTCTAGATTTAGTGGGTAGGGCATTCAACAGGAAAGATCCTTAGGGATCCTCTGTCAATGTTTTCCAATCTTTGTTTAGCTTCAGAAGCCTTTTTCCCAAAGGGAATCTGATCCAGAACTGCAATACCTCAAAGGAGGAGGAGGAGGAAGGGTAGCAATACTCTTTTTTTTTTTTTCTTGTGAAGAGAGAGCCAAGGCCTGGCTGCTGAGCCTTACTCTGCCTCTGATGCCAGCCTGTTCCCAAAGAATCTCTTTGAAACCCTTGAGCTACTTGGATCTAATGTAAGAAGAGGAAACTGAGGTTCCAAGAGGGGAGAAGAATGGCCTCAAGATCACACATGGTGGAAAAAAAAACCAGTAACAAGGAAATCAACTCAGAGCTCTTTTCAGTCTTTTCCAGACATGGTAGAACCTCAAGTAAACTAAGACTATATCATTAGGAAGCATACTCCACAGAATTCCATTTTTCTACTTCTCTCTAGTCCTCTAAACTGGTATATTAATAACGAGAACTTTGCTGTAATCCATAATAGCAAAATGATGAAAGCCAAATGAAGCTATCTCTAAATAATGAGCCTATAATAGTAAATGGCCTCATGATTATTGTGTGTTGGCAGCTACCAAGCATTGATATAATGGGCTAACACTGGGTCTCTGAGGAGTTCTGCCCGTGAAAGCTTTCTCCAGTTAAATCAGCACATTTTTAGGCATCTGAGACTGTTGGCTGAATAAATGCTTTGCTTTCCGCCAGCTCACGAGTTTTTTCATAGCAGCACCATGACTGGGAGGGAAAACATTTGGCTGGGATAGGAGAAGGAGGGAAGGTAGGGAAAGTTTGGGAGAGCTGCATACTTGTGTATCAGGCAAGGATTTCTACCCATGCTATTTGGCAAGCCAATGAAATGTAATATTGCATTATCCACCAACAGTCACTAATTAGAGGCTGTCATCTTTTCCATGTGTACAAACATGGATCAAATACCATTTCCTGATCTTTCTCTCCTGAATTTTCTTGCAATTGAGTGGCTCTTAAGAGTATCAGGGAGGTCTTCTACAAATGGTAGCTCCCTTGATTTGGTTCTTCCCAGTCCTTCCCTTAAGTGACAGCAAATCCCAGCACTATTTGAGACCAGATGGGGACAATAAAGTGAAGAGAAAGCAGTAACCTTGCTCAAAGCCACTTCTTTGCAAAGTCATTCAATGTCTGCTAATTTTTTCATTGGAGGTACTGGGATTTGAACTCAGGCCTTCTACAGCCACATCCCTAGAACTTTTGCTTTAACTATTTTCAGGTAGGGTCTCAAGACTTTTTTCCTAGGATGCCTTGGACCAAGCTCCTCCTTCCTATGCCTCCTACATAGGTAGGATGACAAGCATGCACCACTATGCCCAGCTTATTTGTTGAGTTGGGGGGAGGTGGGAAGGGAGTCTCACAAACTTTTTGCCCAGGTTGCTATGAACTGCAATCCTCCTGATCTCCATCTCTAGAATAAATGGGATTACAGGTATGAGCCAGTGCACCAGGCTCTCATTCAATGTCTTTTCAATGCAACAATCTGGCTCTTTCCCAGTTGGGATTACAGATCCCACAGGCCTCCCATATTCCTTTGCAGGGCTGTCCCAGGCCACACCTACCTGGCCAGACTGCAATCTGTCCGCTGACCTGTGGAAAGAGAAAGGCAAAAGGCATATGTTGAAGCAGAAGGGATAGAAAAAGGAGATCTACACTTTAGAAATGACTACTCACTTTGCCCATCTCCCTAAAAAGCCACTAGCAGGAAAGCACAGAGCACCCAGAGCCTCTCTTTCTGTTTCTGGCTCCCAGACCAGGGATGCTCATACTCTAAAACCTTTAGTTTTGTCTTCCCAAGGAGAAAATAGGAGTGGATGTAGAGAAACAGTAACAAAGCAGACCATACCTTAGAAGACAAATTTGGGAAAGATTTCCCAGAGGTAAGGTAGCTTCTTACTTATGTGTTGGGTGTGTGTATTGTTCAGGGTGTGTGTGTGGAGAGACAGACAAGCCTGCCTGCTCCTGAGTAGGTAAAGGAACAACTGCTTGTACACACAGGATCAGGAGAGGAACAGAAAGAGTTGTCTGGAGAGAGTGAATATAAACAATCTTGCCCATGTTTTAGTTTAAATTAATATTAAATCTCCTATGAGGCTAGACAGGGGTGGCAAGATAGAATTGAGACTTAGTGCTGATGCTGCCAGAAACTCACAGTTCTCAAGCAGTCAGTCAGAACATTTTCAGGATCATAGCTAGCTTTTTTCCCCTAGTTTCTTTATTATCATTATTTACTTTGTTGTTATTATAAAGGTGATTTACATAGGTATTACAATTACATGAGTCAGTTAATGAGTACATTTCCTTTTTTAGTGTCTTTCCTCCCTTACTATATAGCTAGCTTAAAGTATATAAAGGGCTGGGTGCTGGTGGCTCATGCCTGTAATACTAGCTACTCAGTAGGCTGAGATCTGAGGATCTCAGTTCAAAGCCAGCCCATGCAGGAAAGTCCATGAGAGATTTATTGCCAACTAACTATAAAAAAAGAAGTGGAACTATGGCCCAAGTGGTAGGGTACTAGCCTTCAGCACAAAAGCTCAGGGACAGCACCCAGGCTCCAAGTTCAAGGCCTATATCAGTACACCCCCTCCCCGTAAAAAAAGGAAAGCAGTGGAAAGCCTTAGCGTTCATACCAAGTATTCATATGTTTTAACAAGACCTGGACACATGTATGCATGCACCATGATGTAAGCCATGTTACTTTCTTTGGGTTCATGGTTAATGTAGTTTGATGAACATCAGATCCGTATTAGCCACAACAGGGACAAAGTCCAGCAGAAGGACAGATCATCTCTCACATCTCTCACTCAAGCTCCCAGAAAGACAACTCCAGGAGCTGGGGGAGGGCAGCCTTTCTCTTGCCCTTGAAAGCTTGTTAATTGTTGATTACAGCTCAGTTCATCTTGAGCAACACCATCCCCCACCCCTAACAGCGTCTTCTTGCAGAAGGCTCAGCTTTCATCTGCAAAAATATTATTCTGAGCCATTATTTTCAACATCTGTATCTTTTCCATTCTGGAATATTCATACATATCAATTATCCCTCTGTGGCAAGAACAAGGGGCTCTTACATTATAGTGACAAATACATACAAAAGGCAGGAACATGATGACTTGCACACAGGAAGATTTATGTGTTTTTTTTTCTTTATTGCTTGAACTTGTCATCTTTAGATTATGGCAATTTGCAGAACTAATGAATGGTCAGCCTTCATCTCTCTAAAGGGATGCATTTGGTGTATACATGCATGTTAGCACAACCTCCCTCCCCCACCATCCACTTCAAGGTCCTACTCCCTACCTACTCCCTGTCTTAACTGATGGGTTATGCTTAGATTGTCTTGCAAAAAAGACATCACAGCTATAACTTGCTTCAAATAGTTCTGGGCTTGCTTTCCTCTAATTCCCTTTGGAGCATTCTGATAACTCAAGGGTAAAGACTTTCCATAAGCAAAGTTTGGCTCTTAATGCCTGGACCTGTCTAGTCTGAGTCCCTTGGGTAGTACAGAGCAAAGAGACCAGGAATTACCAAAAAGGTTTTCTCCACATTAAGGAGAACACCTGAAACAGTCACATCACTGATAGAAGAGAAGAATTAATAAACTGGGGGAACTGTTTTGTTTCCAGGGCAGGAAGAAGGAAGAAGAAAGGGTAAGAGGGGAATGTAGGAGGCTCTGGTATGAAAAGCAGGGTTCCAATTCCTGGGCTAATGAGCAATGTATCTTCCACTTCCCTACACTCTCTAGTTTGTCTGATGAGTGCTTAAGAATTCATTAAAAATATTAGACCTCTGTTTAAGTGGAGGCTTACATGTCACTGATGTGACCACAGGTTCCCTGTGGCCTCTCTGTTTGTCTTCCTCCCATCTGTAAGTGAGATTAGTGGGCAGGGAGGAAGGGCAGATCATTCAGAGGCATCCCCAACCTGGGAATCTCATTAATCACAGGATGCTGAGAGCAAGGCAGGAGACCTGGGCAGAGTGCCAGACAACCCTGGGAAAGATTCTCTTGCAACCTTCGCCTTCTGTTTGACGGCTGGCCAAGGAGAGAAAGACCAGAGTGCCAGTCCAGTTGTCTTGTAGTGCTACTTTCCAGGGTCTGGTTAAGATCATCATCTGAGATGATCATGGCTTCAGCACAGCCACAGAAGAGAGGGCTGCGTTTAAACAGAGACCCTTCCACCAAGTAGAAGGAAATCCTGGGAGTGGTAGAAGATAGTGGCCTGCCCATCATTTCTGCTCTGAGGATCCTATCCCTCCTCACAGCAGCTCAGTGTCTCCTCTCAAGCTCCCCACCTTCTCCCTCCAGCCTCAGTCTTGCCACAGGGGGGCTAGGAATTTTCATAGTATCTGGAGAGGCAAAAACCTTTTAGCCTCTTTATCCCAGTTGTGGCAGTGAAGGTGAAGGAGCAGGCATGCTCCATTTAAACAAATAGATGATGCACATTAATGCTTCATTAAGCATTGCCCTTTCCACATTACTCAAGCAGTCATTTGGGGCATGTGCTTCCACATTAAACAGGCTAGGAAAGGAAAAGTATTCATATAACCAGATCAGGACCACTTGCTTGAAGACAGGGCGCATGCTCAGCAGGAAGCTCAGCCAGGCTTCCCCCAAAACAGCATTCCCACACTCACTTTCTCCCAGAGTTTTCTGTAACAGGTCATGCTTGGCTTGTAACTTGGTAATGAGGTTCCTGCCCTCCAGGTACTCCTTCATTTTCTGTAAGAGAGGAGGAGAGAGAGGAATTAGATTCCTGGGAGGGAGGGAGGGCAAGGAATCACAGACACTCAGCCAGAAAGCTTCCTTTTTCAGGAGACATTTTGTTTCTGATCCAATTTTTATTCAATCCATAAAGAAAAAAATCTTTTTGAGGCTTTGGTATGGGGCAGCTGCAGATCTTCCTGGTGGATAAGTATGCTGCTCTGTGTTTCTACAGGAGCTTCATGTGGCTAGTTCAAGGGGACCAACTCCTAAATAAAGTCCCTGAGTGGTCTCCTTCAGTTCCACTGATGAACCAGAACTGCAAGGTAGATGGACAGCCTCCTGGAGTTCCAGTTTTCTTGGTATGAAGGTATGCCTGCTTTGTGGTACCTCACTGACCTCTTGCCTGCCCCTCCCAGAGTATATTCTATCACCCCAGGAGCAGAGGCTCAGCTACAAGGGAAACTGGCAGAACTGGACACTCTTGGGCCTCTTCCTGTATTCTGCATTACGTCCTTATGAGAAGTGCAGGATTTCTGAGAGCTTGAAGGGAGTAGTTGTCACCTGCTATGTGCATACCACACACAACAGTTCTAAACACAAGATGAGGTTTTGGAATTTTACCTGCTCTAACAGCCGAAATATGACTGTATGTTAGATGTGATCACTTGTTTAAACCTTGTCTGCCCGGTGAGAGACTGTATTTTACTGGACATCATCACATTTCTACAACCACCCAATGAACTACTATCATTACTCTGTTTTATGGATGAGTTTACTGAGGTTTAGGGAGACTAAGTTGCTCAAGGTCAAATAGTGTCCAAACACACAGAGCTTGACACATGGTGTGCTCTGAAGCTTTATGGCAAACTGTTCTAGCCACTATGGTGCAGAGCAAACAGAAATAAACTTACAGTACCCATTCTTTTTGTATGTATAGGAACCTAGGAGATTATAGAGCACATCAGCACAAATTTTTTTGTATGCCTCCTACAGTCACTCCATACAGCATGCAGGGAAGATGCTATGATTATAATTTCCTTATTAGAAATGAGATGATCACAGGGAAGGGGGAATGTCTATAGATTATTGTTGCATTAGTAAGTGAGAGTGCCAGGTGAGGGGAAGGAGAGATGTTTATAGTTTATTAATTGTTGCAATAGTGGTAGTGCCAGGCGGGCAGATAAACCCCAAGGTCTTGGAACATTTTTTTTTTTTTAATTTAAAGACAGTGTCTTGATAGGTCTCTATATGTAGCCCAGCTTTCTGTGTCAGGCACCAGAGTGGTGAGATTATAGATGTATACCACTATACTTGGTTATTACCATGGCACCTTTATGACTCGCCTATTTTGGGGGGGAGGGGCAATGCTTCATGCTTGCTATGCAAATATTCTACAACACAAGCCACACCCCAGACCCCTCACACCATCCTTGTGGATTTTCAGCTGCCTTGCTTGTCTCCTGCTGCAATGGTTCATTTGCCCATGTTTAATTCCAAAGTTAAATGGTGTAGGATTTCCCAAGTGGGACCCACAAATCACTAGAAAGACATGGGGTCATTCAGGTGGGAGGTGTATAAAACATTTAAAACTTTTTAATAGATGGAAAGAACAAGAATGGAAAGAACAAGAATGGGAGGCTCATCGTTTTAGGTTAGCACAGGCAGACAAGTTCATGAGATGCCTTCTCTCTATATATGGGTACTGTGGCACATGCCTGGCATCCTAAAGTACATGAGAGACTGAAATAGGGAGGATCATAGCTCTAGGTCAGCCTGGGCAGAAAACTATCTCAAAGGAGAAAGCTGGTACATGCCTATTGTCCTACAATGATAAGAAGCCTAAAATAGATGGGCAGTGGTCCAGACATGTGCTGGGGAAGGAAGCAAGACCTTAACTCAAAAAAAAAAAAAAAAGGGACTGAGGATGTGGCTTTAGTGATATCAAGTTTGCTTAATGAGCATGAGGCCCAGAGTTCAAACCCCAGCACCATCAAAATAAAAAATCAAACTGCTAAGTGAAATGAACTTCAAGATATGGACACAAGAGGTCTGTCTTTATTGCTATTGTTTTAAATGTACCCTGTGATTTTATTATTGTTGTTGTTTCCTTTTTATGTTCTCTCCTCTATGGCATATCTCCTGTTGAGACTGTACTTGGTTTTGGTACCCTGCCTCTTGTATATACATATGTCTAATCTGGGGAGGGGAAGGGGAATAACAAAACACTGAAACAAGGACACAAGATGACCCATTGCAACAAGGATACCCACAGGACAGTATATTGGAAATGAACTTTACAACCTCGGGAGGGTGGGGTGGGGAAGTGTGGAGGTGGGGGAGGGAAGGGATAGTGGGACAACACCAGGGAAGGGAAGGGGTAACAATGATTGACAAGTAATGTATTCATTGCCTTACTCATGTAACTGTAACCCCTCTGTACAGCATCTTTACAATAAAAAATATATATAAAATATGTAAAAAAGGTGCAAAAAATAGCTATTTTTTCTATATTTTTTTCTGCACAGTATACACTTTTAAGTAAGGGCTTGTCATGCTTCCCTCATTTAACAATAAACAAAAACTTGCTCATATGGCTCTGTGTATAACTTGCAAATCTCCATGTCAATGACAGTACTTTCCATACTACTCTCACTGAGGGTTTATTCCCCATGTCTTCCTCTCTACACTGTCTCTTCCCTATGTTCAGAGACCCAGGTCATTCCTTCTTCTCATTTCTTATGCGCAAAACCTCAACCCAGCAGATATTACACAATCAGTGATAAGTGCAAGAAGAATAAATAAATAAATAAGCAGCTTCACTCTCCTCTGTAGAACTGCCCTTAGCAGTTACAACCAGCCCCCAATGTGTCCCTACACCAAATGAAATATAAAACAAAGCAGAAACAAATGCTATTCTAAATAATTTCTGGTGCCTTATTCAAGACCTGTTCCCTGGGTTCCTTTATGGTTTTGCACGAGAACATCTGCATGAAAATAGGCTCTCCTGTCACCTTCCCCTTCCCATCTGCTCCAGCTGCCAGCTCACCTGCTGTCAGTCTTCCCTGGGTGATATCCAAATCTCCAACTAGTGGCTAATTGTGGACTTGGAATAGTATTTTGGGACCCAGAGGTGAAAATCCTTTAGGAAACATCCATTGCTAATACCTCTAACCCTCAAAGGCCTCTCTTTGGAAGAGAAATCCCAAGAGACTCCAGAGTTTCCTAATGAAGAAAATTTACTAAGAGGCTATAACCCTCAAAGCAAGGCCCAACTGCTCAGAATACAGCAACATTCTGAAAGGAGAGGTTGCAAATTTCTTCCTTGTTCATGTTTCTACTTGTGATTCCCCAAATCATTTTTTTCTCATTCATGTTCACAGCTCACTAGCTAACTCTGGTTGTCACTTGGTGAACCATTCAAATAAATAATCTGATAAAGAGCTATGATGGATTACCTTTTCGGGTTCTATTAAATCCTGAAAGATCAAAACTGTGTCAGGGTGTGACCAGCATTCTCATGCTGGTATGGAAACCATGGCTAGGTATTTGCATCTAGGTAAGCCAAGTGTGGGAAGGTAAAAATATCCCTGAGTTGAGTCTGCAGGCATGTTATCCATCAACTCCCTACCTCACCCAGAAGTCTGTACTCCTCTGGAGATAAATATCCTTGCCTCTATCCTCCCATGTGAGTTAGAAGTTGCTTCTGAGCACAGAGAAAGGAGCTGGAAAACTGAAGGAAAAGGACAAAGACATGGCATCTTATGATTTCTAAAGCCTAGAGGGCTAGGCAAAGAGCTGTTGATCTGCAACCTCAAATCTCTTCCTTAGGCAATGAAGGTCATTGTCTTTTTTGTGTGTGTGTGTGCCGGTCCTGGGGTCTGAACTCAGGGCCTGGACATTGTCCCTGAGCTTTTGTGCTCAAGGCTAGCACTCTAGCACTTGAGCTACAGCTCCACTTCTGTGTGTGTGTGTGTGTGTGTGTGTGTGTGTGTGTGTGTGTGTGTGTGTGTGTGTGTGTGTGTGTGTGTGTGTGTAGCACTTGAGCTACAGCTCCACTTCTGTGTGTGTGTGTGTGTGTGTGTGTGTGTGTGTGTGTGTGTGGCCTGGACATTGTCCCTGAGCTTTTGTGCTCAAGGCTAGCACTCTAGCACTTGAGCTACAGCTCCACTTCTGTGTGTGTGTGTGTGTGTGTGTGTGTGTGTGTGTGTGTGTGTGTGTGTGTGTGTTTAACTGGAGATAAAAGTCTCATGGACTTTCCTGCCAGGGCTGGCTTCAAACCACAATCCTCAGATCTCAACCTCCTGGCACCTGGCCTTTTCCTTAAATACTTGTTACTACTAGGTAACTAAGTTAGGTTCATTCTACATCCTCAACTTTGAAAGCAATTGCCTGAGGATTTCACTTTACCCAGACATACTATTTTGCCAAAATAAATCAAGTTCCAAATAGTCTGATCAGTGCTTCCCAGGTCAACTTTTACATTTGCCAATATAAAAATTTCTACAAAAAAATTAAAAAGGGAATCAATGAGTCTATTAGGTACTTTAGTTTTATTTCTTTGCATTATGAAATTTCAATTCCATTTTTATGATCTCACTAATGTATTTCTCAATAGTTTCTAAGTGGTATTGTCAGCAATGAGGTTGATTTGTTAAGAAGTATTAACACAGTAATTTTTCTTTCTGAGTCCCCTCTCCCTGATGATTGAGGTATAGTAAAATGAAAAGACTTAGAGTATTCTAGTTCTACTACTTACTAATTCCTCTAGCTTCAAAAAATGGTAATATTGTCTTTTCCACAAGATTGTTGAGGTTGAAACAGGAAGTCCAACAGGACTGTGATTGGCATAGGAGTTGGCATAGACTAGAAAGTGGACCTTATACCTGAACTACTTGCTTGGTCAACTAAAAAATAATTCCTTCCTAAACTTCTCTGCTTTGTGCAAATACACAAGAAAGCTAAATCAAAGCAGAAGGTTTCAGGACTTAAAAAGGGGGCATAAGAATACGTCCCAT